GCTCTTCTGGCTTCTGACCCTATCTTCGAGCTCCACTTCTTCTTCAACTTCCGGAGTTAGGCCACGCATTGTTATCGGCTCAACGACCTCCTTCAGGGGGGTGATGGTGTTCCCTGACATCTCGAGAAAGAAATGCGATAATCTCTTCGGCCCCACGGTGGGCGCCAAATTGTTTACGCCTAGAAAGTGCCAGGCGGGTTGTGAAGACCAATGAGAAGATCGACAGTCCACCCAAGATGAGGGAATACACTGTTTCCTGCAAAAGGGGTCCGGGGGCGTTGCCCAGGGACACTCTCCAATGCTTAAGTCAGTATTGAGAGAGAAAATAGGGAGATAGATTGTAGAGAGAGAGTGAAATTAGTTACCATAAATGAGGTTGTGGGCTCTTATTTATACCCCGTGGCTATTGGCGCATGTACAACATGTCTTGTCATACATACCTCGTACTCCTCCACACGCTCGCGGCGGCATTTAATGCTGTCAGTCCCGGCTCCACCCATCGCGCCTGTTCTACGCTGGACGCTCTCCCCTTGATTCCTTGCTCAATGGGCCGATCTGTTTTCTCCCGAGCTTACGTGGGCCTTCCCTCCTTGGGCCGTCTCGGGCCCTCTGGTCCCTATCGTTGGCTCGCGAGTTATTGGGCCTGCTCCCCTGTTACCTCGACTACCCGGGCCTTTTGTCCATCTCCTACTACGTGGGTCTTGATCCAGATGGTGATCCCCAATGGCCCAACAGTTCCATTTTAAAACAGTAACCCACTGATATACCACCGGCGCAAAAAATCAGATGGTGAACATGAAGGATGGGTTTTCAAGACTTGCCCCTGACTATCGTCGGTAATTCCACAAGTGGTCGGCGACAATCGGTCTAGACTGCATGCATTAAGGCCCCTGTTCTATGCAATTAATGTCCTTTGTTTAAACCTTAAAAACGAGGTTAATTACCCTATTAGGGCTGGTGCCAGATTGGCTGTGATTGAGCCTTTAATTTGTCATATATGTATGGAACAAGGTTGTCAACCCGCGGGTCGACCCGAGGGTTGACCCACTTTGACCCTGACCCGGTGAGAAAAACGGGTCGCACGCACCCGTCGGGTCGACCGCTATAAGGTCGGGTTGGAGGTCAAATTGTGTCATTTTTTTCTCTGTTTTGCGAAATGCGCCTATTTTCCGATTTTTCTTTTCGCCTAACTCAATCTTTGGAATCCTAAGTTGAACATTTGAATATTAATGTTATATAAGTGTGTGTGAATTTTCACTATATGTTGAATCTAAGTACGTAATGTTATTTTGGTGTAATATTATATGTTATAACTCATGTTAGATGAGATTTGATATGATTTATTAGGATAAGTACAATATAATGACACTTTCCATATTTCCGGGCTAAATCGGGCTAAAATGGGTGACCCATTAACCCTTGACCCACTAGCTCAACCGGGTCCGGGTCAACTCGTGGGTTGACAACCTTGGTATGGAAGTAATGAACCGGCTTCCGTTCAAAGTGACTAACTCGCTCTGACTATTGCAATAAAATCCCACATAAGGTCCAAGTATAAACCTTAGATGGGTGCAATATAGGGCAAGTATGTTTAAATATCGACCTGGGCCGGTCCATGCACCGCTACTTCGACTGTTTGAAACATTATCTAGCGGATTGGTTTTGGTGAAAACAAAGGTCTAAAACTAAATTGCTTTGTAAAGGTAAAATGGATTTTGACTCTAGTTGAGAAAGCTTCACCAGGGTGTCAGGTCCCCCTAGCTAACAATTATGACTTGAAGAATCGAACGATCGTGTGTGGTTAGGGGGGGGGGGGGGGGGAGTCATGAACCGCAGGGAAGTCTAACAAGCAGCCGAAGCTACCCTCTTAGCCTCTAGGTTGAGGAATGAGATACGGTCCAAGCCACTAATGTGACTTTCTCAACCTATCAACTAAGGAATGGTTAGACTTCACCCTCGAATTGGAGTCCGGACGACCACCCACAACCAAACCCTAAGTGCTAATGCGAATTAGGAGGTTTGGCCTTTAACTAACCTAGAATAGGAGGCATAGAATGCCCAAGGAAACCCATCTCTAATAGAGCCTCTTAATTTTCTCTCTAAACTAGCTTAGGAGGCATTGAATGCCTAAGGAAACTCATCTCGAATGAGCCTCTTACGTTAAGGAGGGTTCTCTCTAAACTAGTTTAGGAGGCGTTGAATGCCCAAGGAAACCGAGCCTCTTGGGTAAATGAGGTTTCCACTCTAACGAGCCTAGGAGGCATGAAATGCCCAAGAACACCCAATCTCAAATTGAGCCTCTTAACCTAAGGAGGTTTCCTCTCTAAACTAGCCTAGGAGGCATGAAATTCCCAAGAACACCCAATGAACCTCCTAACTTAAGGAGATCTCCTCTCTAAGCTAGGTTAGAATGGCAATTAGATTGATAGGCTTTCACACAACACAATCATTTCTGAATAATACATCCATATTCACATTAAAACACAACCACACACAAATCATTCAATTCATACACGCATTCACATAATTGTAGCTAGGATTTACAAACACCCAAGTGAAAGAAGGGACTACTCCATGCTAGGAGAAGGAAAAACACAAGAGAGGGAAACGGAACCCATCAAGAAGATGCAATCCTTGCTCCTTGTGCTGAATAAATCCTCCTTTGGGGAAGAAATTCCCAAAACCTTGCTTGGAGAAGAAACCATAGCTTTCCCTCTTCTTTGGTTTGTCACTTTCTCACTCTAAAATCTGAAGAAGGAGAAGTTTCTCACTCTAGGTCTCTCCCCTTCTTCTTCCTTTCAACTTTCCTTTCAAGTGGAGATCGCGCCCAGAGTACACGGCCGTGAACATTGAAACGCGTCTGTGAACTCAGTGTTGTGACCAAAACACACCGCTTCCATTTGCTCAGGTTCACGGTCTTAGTGACCGTGAACTGCCTGGGCGTCAGTAACCTGAAAACCCCTCTGTTTGCTCCTCGGTTCATGGGTCATGGCTCCATTTCACGATCCTGTAAGACCGTGCGCTCCAACGCCTGCCGTGCATAGCGGCTGTCTCCACCTCTTTGCCCGGTCTTTGCTCCCTTTCTTCCAACTTTCGACTCCGGGTTTGGTTTTACCTGTTAGGATATGAAATACACTAAATCACAAGCAACCTCGCATAAAACCAACCTTTTTTGAGTTCAAGTGCAACAAACGTCAAAGAGAATCGTGGATAAAAAGTGTACAATTAGGCTCGAATAAGTGACAGTGCCGACTCTTGATGCCTTTTACTTTTTTTTTAAAAGGCGTTCATTAGGATAAAAACGAATGGGCTAAGCCCACAAGGGAAGTGTACAAGCAAACACTGTAGAAATGAAATGAAAAACGCCCAAACAAAAGGCTCAAAGACAAACCCGGAGGCCCAATATGCTCCAGGCCTAGAACCCAAACAAGTCAGAGCCTTACCCAAACCCTAGCCTCAACGTGCCCTCTCAGACCCTCCTCCGGCGCCGCTGTTGAGCACCACCACCGCTTTAGACAAGTCTCCGCCACCCATCCTTTGAGCGTCGGCGCGAGCCAAGCTCTGGTTTGGGTACCCACCTTATCCCGGAATGCAAGATGAGGAGGAAACAACCACCGAATCATCTCACACTGAACAAATTGTCATACACATCTCATCGACCACCACGAGACTTAACAGAACAACCAAAAGGTAAGCGGAGGCAGAGAGTTAGAATACACCAGTCTTCAAGCTCTCCCATCCAGATCCTCACCAAGGCCTGCATCTACGGATCGCCAAGAAATGCAAGGCAAAACAAGGAGGTAGACCACAGAAGGGGAGAGGAGAAGACAAGTCGGATCTGTCCGATTCAACCTCCATCGCATCTTGAACGGGACAAGCATCTCCAAATCTGGAAACCGGATCGGTGGGTAAAAAAAAATCAATCCACAGTAGGGGAAAAGGGAAATCTCCAAAGGGATGCGAATCAAACCAGAGAGTGGAAGAGAGCCAAAACATGGCTGGAAAAGTAAACAAACGCAGAAGGAACAAAGGGAAAAGCAAGAAAAAAACTCTGAAAAGAAAGACGGCCAAAGGAAATGACCGGTGAAGACGAAGGGCAAGTCAAGGGGTTGGGAGCAAAAAAAAATCACAAGAAAAGATGGTGCTTGGTGATCGTCGTTCACCAAAAGAGTGAAAACCGACGACACCCCCAACGACATTTTGCGAAGGAAGCTAGAGAGATGTTAGAGCCTTTGAAAAAAGGAAATGTATTGTTTTCACTCGAGGCCTTTTACTTAGAGCATCTACATCAAGGCTTATAATTAAACAAAGAACAATGAGTTTATTAATAAATTAATAGTGAGTTTAATTCTCTCAAAGAATAATTAACCTTCTAATCTTTGTACATATATTGGAGGTTTTATTGGAAGTTTTTATTGAGCTTTATTAGCTCATTGGTAATGGGCTACTTACCCTTGGATTCATGGGGATTGGGGAGGCAAGGATTTCATATAGGAGTGTACTCTTTCAAAAATTAAATTAAAAATTAAATAATTTTTAAATATAAAAAGATCTAACTAGTACAATTTACAACAAAATCCCTTGACATATATTCATAACTAAAAAATTGTAAAATGCATTCGGTGTCTACACGGCTCAACAAATCTCTCTATCTGACTATAAATCATTCATGAACTGATCGCTTATTTGATTTTGAAACTTGTTCTTAAAGTATCCCAAAATTGTATTTGCACTCGGTAAATTCAATAACTTTGGGAAGCAAGTAAACCAATGTATATGATAGAATGTATAAAATATGGGTAGCTATAATTGGGTTTTATTGTTAAATTTTGAAAATAATTGGGAAATGAATAGATTTTTACTATTAGTTTTGTGTTTAAAATACAACAATAAATTAGTTGAAGCCTAATGGAAAACATGTTTACTAATAATAGTAGTGTCCTAGGTTCGAATCACATGGTCTACCACTTATATATATTGCAAAGGCTAGCGTACACCCGACGTACGTTATATGCCTGTGTTTACACTAAAAAATTAATATTAAATGATTTTAATTTAAATATGAGTATATTAATTAATAATAATAATTAGAATTACGATCACACCCATTAAATAATTTTTGTGTATCTTTTATTCCCCAATCAATTTTCACCGTCCATTATGTTCAAATCAAGCATATAACTTTTTCATATTTAAACTCTAGTACCTTATCTTTCCAAATCACAATTTCAAAGGCCTATAGTGTTTAGAATTACAAATTCCCTCAACTCATTTAAGGACTCTTCTTGTCTCCCTTCTCCGTCAATGGGAAGCAAGTAAGGTGCAAGATGTGCTAAAGAAAAAGGAGGTAAAGAAGGATATGAAGAAGGATGGGGGAAGCCCCCAACTTCGAAATGATTATTCTGTTCTGGAGTGTAAGGGGGTTTAATAAAACCTCCAAACAGAGGGACTTGATGCAAGTCCTACGTAGGCATAAAGTAGATGTAGTTGCAGTTCTTGAGACCAGGATTCAGGCTAATAAAGTTGAGGAGGCAGTAGAGGAGGTTTTCGCAGGTGAGGAGAAATGTCTCAATTGTTTTGATTCAAAATTGGGGCGGGTCTGGTTGTTTTGGGACTCTGCCATTAAGCTTCACGTTCTCAAACCAAAAAAGAACTTTATTCATTGCTTGGTTGAGGACATTAACAAGGATACCTTCTTTCTAACAGCTGTTTATGCTTCTAATGATGAGGCTGAGCGGCTACATACTTACAGGGAGATTGCATAGTTGAAGGTTGTTGGAAATCCTTGGATTGTTAGTGGTGACTTTAATACGGTTCGAACTCCTCATGAGACGTCTAATCAGCGATCATTTACTTCAAGCATGGAAGGTTTTAATCAATGGATTGAGGAGATGGAGTAGGTAGATTATAGAACAACGGGGCCTCAATTCACATGGACTAATCGGTAGGCTTATCATCCTATTGCTAGGCGGCTTGACAGAAGTCTGGTTAATTTGGATTGGATCGAGCATTATAAAGATTGTGCTATGGAGGCTCTCCCTGCACAATTCTCAGACCACTGTGGGGTGCAGGTTTGTATGGTAGCCCCTATAAAGTCTCTGCACAAACCCTTTAAATATTTTGAGTTTTGGGCAGAGCACCCACTTTTTATGGATATAGTTGAGGAGGCTTGGCGTATCGAGGTTTCAGGGACGCCCTTGCAAGTTATTCACAGTAAAATGGGTAGGGTAAAGCAGGCTTTAAAGAAATTTAACAAAGAAGTCTATGGTAACCTGCAAGATCAAGTTAAAGAGGTTGAGGGTGAGTTGATGAGAGTCCAAACCAAAGCTTTCTCAGATCCTACTACAGAACACTTTGAAGCTGTTACACTTGCAAAGGATCATTATGATCATGTATCTTCGGCTTATGAAAGTTTTTGCTGGCAGAAATCCAGGGTGTCTTGGTTAACAGTTGGGGATCAAAGTTCAAACTTCTTTCATCAGGTTGTTAAAATTCGCAAATCCAAGCGAGCTATTAGGAAATTGGTCAAAGACTCAGGGGAGGAAATATTTCAATCTTACCAGATTGTTGAGGAAATTCTGGACTTCTATAAGAAACTACTCGAAGAGGCTAACTTGGAGATTAATCCTAGTAAGGAGGAGGTGGAGCAGCTTGTTCGTCTCCATATACCTGGGCCTGAGTGTGACATCCGTGTTAAAGAAGTAACTGCAAAAGAGATAAGGAGTGTGGTTTTTAGCATGAATTCCCAAAAAGCTCCAGGTCCGGATGATTTTCTGCTGGATTCTACAAATAGACCAGGCCAATCATTAGGGATGATATAATCAGAGGGATCCTATTCTTCTTTCAGACAGGTACTCTTCCTAGTGGAGTAAATGCCACTGTTGTATCTTTAATTCCCAAAGTTTCTAATGTTGATACCTTAAAGAATTTTAGGCCTATTTCATGTGTGAATCTTCTCTATAAGATAGTGGCTAAGATTCTTGCAAGGCGCATTAGTGAAGTTATGCCTCTGATCATTAGTAATACTCAGTCGGCCTTTGTTAAAGGAAGAAGCATAATGGATAATATTTTACTGGCTCAGGATTTGGTAGTGGGTATAATAGAATCTATATGTCTTCTTGATGCGCAATAAAAATAGATATCATGAAGGCATTTGATTTTTTTAGTTGGCAGTGCTTGTTTCTTATGATGCATGCCATGTGATTCCCTGAGAGGTTTATGAAGTGGATTAAGGCTTGTCTTCAAATCGCCCATTATAGTTTCAATATCAATGGCAGTTTATGTGGGTTCTTTAGAGCTAGGAAAGGAGTCGGGCAAGGTGATCCATTATCACTGTACTTGTTTACCATTGCTATGGAAGGTCTATCGACCATGTTGATGAATGCAAGTCAATATGGAGTGATTCCTTTCCACCCTCAGTGCCAGAGAATCTCTTTAAACCACATGGGCTTTGCTGATGACATCCTGGTGTTTACTACTGGCTCAGCACAAGCGATCCTTCAGGTTAAAGAAATTCTGCACAAGTTCCACCAGCTGTCTGGGCTTAAAAGCAATCCTTCTAAGTGTGAAATTTATTTTGGAGGAGAAGCCATTAAGTACAAAAGTAATGCTCTGTTGCTCTCTGGTTTTAAGGACGGTGAGTTACCTGTCAGATATTTGGGGTTGCCTTTAATGTCTGGTAAACTATCTTCCACAGAGATTGACATTCTAGTAGACAAGGTTACTAAGCGGATTAAATCATGGAGAGCCCAGAAACTAACCTATGCTAGAAGGCTACAGCTAATCAACTCAGTGTTACTTGGAGTGGTGCAATACTGGATGCAGCTCTTTGTGCTTCCCAAGAAGGCATTGAAGCGGATTCAGCAGGTATGCTCTCAATTTCTTTGGCATGGGAATGATGTTGGAAGAGCTAAGGTGGCATGGGACTTTGTGGCTTTACCTAGAAAGGAGGGTGGAGTTGGGGTTAAAGACCTGTTGGCATGGAATCAGGCTTGTTCCATACGCATGCTCTGGCTGTTTCTTATGAAGGCATGAGCTCTGTGGGTTGCATGGATGTATGAGTAAAAGTTTGGGAAGGGGGGCCTCTGGTCATTTAAAGTACAGTATAGTAGTTCATGGACTTGGAGAAGACTTCTTAAACTGCGTGGCATCATTCTCCCATGGATACAACATCAACAAGGCATCTTATATTGGGATTCACATGAGATGCAGATTTATTCAGTTAGGAGAGTGTAGGAAACGTTGCGTAGGAAAGCTCCAACTGTCTCATGGCATAAACTTATTTGGAGTAAATACTGTCCCCCGAGATATAGTTTGATCTCTTGGCTGTTAATGAGGAATGCCATTACCACCAGAGACAAACTGTTGCAGTGTGGGAAAATCAGAGATGTTATCTGTCCGCTTTGTGGTGTGGATGTTGAAAGTCGAGAGCATTTATTTCTCCGTTGCAACTACTTCCAGAGACTATCTACGCTGATGCACTTCCCCCTTCTGTGTTCTCAAGGTTGGGACGCAATGGTGCAGAAGATTATTGCTGACATGCGCAGGGACTCTCATTCTGGCTAGTGTCATGCTCTCATCTGGTGTCTCACAGTGTCCTTTATCTGGAAGGAAAGATGCAGAGTGATTCATGGTTCCCCCTGTCGTGATCCTGAGTCTATTGCTGATCTTATTAGGGCGGATCTAATGTTCATATCTTGTGGAAATAGAGGAGTTCGAGATGCACTTACACGTCTTGGATACTTATAGATTTTATTTTGAAGCTCTGTAAGTAGTTTCTTATATAGTGAGTGGGAGTGACTAGTAAGTGCTTTGTGAGCTGCTTGTGGGACTCTACCTTTTAGGGTTCCACTTTGTTGTATCGGTTTTCTTTTTTGGAAATAAAAGCAAATGATTCAACGGAAAAAAATACTTTGTTCTCTTCTGATGATCCCTTCTGATTGGCAACGAAAGCTTCGGGGTAACAATGAGAGCTCGCTCTCTCTGATCTAATCTATCCTATCTCTTCCCCAAGATCTCTGCGCCACCCAATCTTCCTACAAATTCATCCCGTCAAGATCAGTCACGTGTTTTTTTATGGTGTTCCCTCTCCTCCTTCAAGTCCACCTTCCGTTGCCACCACAAAAGCACACTCCTCCGCAACACCAACATGCAACTCCTGTTCAGAATCGACGAAGATGATTTCGTTTGCATCTCTGGCTGAAGCAACAGGTAGGAAGATATGTGTAATTTAGATGGAAAAGTAAAGAAATTGAGAAATGGGTTTTGAAGGGAAGGATGGATTGTATGGAGGGTACCCTTTAGATTGGGATGCGATGGTGGCAGTTTCAACGATATGGTTGGACCTATAAGATGATGGTCATCACCCTATTGTTTTTGGATTTGTTTGGGATGAAAGGATGGTACATTCCGTCTACCCTGCTCCTTGCGGCAGGAACTCCCTCACCCTCTCGAAATTCCGTGACGAATTCGACCCAGAGACCTGGAAACTCTCGTCCTCAATCTGGTGGTATGCTGCCGTCATCGAGCAGAACCTTGCCATCTCAAGAGCCCTCGACCGATTCCTCTCCTGCGGTGGGGGGAAGGAGGAAGCGATTTCCCCAATTGATATGCAAGGCTCTGAGATCCCTTCAATTGTAGAAGAGCAATTAGGTTTACGAAGTGGTGAGATTAGTCGGGGAGGACTACAGATTGGTCTAGCGGGAGATTTTGATTTAAGTCGGGGAGTTCCGGAATTGAATGCAAAGCTTGAGTTTCGGCAACCTGGCTCGGCTGATGGCTGGGTTGAGGAGATTGGAGGGCTTCCGAGAGACGACCGATTGAACGATCTGGTGGCGAATAAGGGAAGGATTAATTGGTAATTATAACTATTTTTTTCTATTTTATTTATTTTATTTTGTTATGATAGTAGGTGAAAATTATAGATGATAAATTTTATTATTTTTTAATTGTCACGTCACTTATTTAACAGTCAACTTTCAGAGTTGACTGCCATGTTAGCTAAGATTAACGGAAACTAACAGAGAGTGACCAAAATTGGGTTGTATAACTAATTTAAGTGACTATAGATGTTATAAATTAATCTTAGTGGCAAAAGTGAACTTTATTGTAATTCTAGTGATCAAACTTGCAATTTACCCGTTTCTTGTCTATCATACCACAAGTGACGATTGACATCGTTTTCACATGAATCGCCTACAAAGAATGACTATTATACCACAAGTGGCGAGTGCATTGAATGCACCCCAAATGTGGTCGGTGCACCGAAAACGCCACCATATATATGGCAAAGGCTAGCCTAAACTATAAAGGTGGCTACTTTGGGGCACCCACAAATATGAGTGCATTCAATTCACCCAACTCTAAAACTAGCCTTACGACTGCAAATTTTTAATTTTAATTGATCTAGTTTGAAATGATGATATAGCATATGATCACTACTAATCAATCCATTACCCTAATCCCTAAACCTTCAAGTTTGAATACAAACCCAAATCCCCCCAAATTATTAACCCTAACCCTAACTCTAAATCCCTAAACCCTTAATCCTTCAAATTAAAGTATATCCTGAATGATTTTTTTGGCAAATTCATGTTTTTCTTGTTCATCGTATCACATATGTGATCGATACTATTTTGGCATGAATCGTATGCTAAAAATGACAATTATGATACGAGTGCATTGAATATACTAAAAAAAGTGAGTGCACTCAAGACAAAACCATAAATATTTATCAATATATTTTTATTCTCATACGCAAACTACTACCGAGATTAGATAATAGTTTTTTTCTCTCCAAATTTCGGAGTGTCTCTGGACACCCTCAATACCCCCTAACTCCGCCCCTGCTTGGATTGTGAGTAGCCGATGTTGTTTTAAAGATGTATATGACTATAATGCTTGGCTTTACTGAGTTGGGTCTCTTTCATCCTATTAAAGATGAATTGTTTTGAAAACGAAAACTGAGAACAAATTGACTATGAGAAGGTGTCCGAAATACTAAATATTTCTATCTCGTTACCTCAATTAAGCGTCAAAGCAATATCATTTAGAGGATGCTAGAGGTAATTGATATACCACCAAATAGGAGAAACTGTTCCATACATTCTTTAATGCGTCTGTTTACTTTGGAAAATCTGGAAGTCTAGAAATAAAGTGACTTTTGAAATCTACCGACCTCATGTCCGTACCTTCCCCCAATGCAGTAAAAAATGTGATTTTACTTAAAATCGTAAGATTTTCATATTCATATTAAAATAAACACTTAAAACACCATATAGTAATAAAAATGCATATATTGAATAACAATCAACCACATAAAACACCTAATCACTTTCCAAGATAAGTTTGTTTGCTAAATAAACACAACTAAATCCATAGATTTATTCATGTTCATAACATAAGCACACAAATAAGCTACCTGAAACCTCATTGAAATCACTTAATTAATAGTTAAGAGTAGAAAACCACATAAGATCCTTAGGATCAACATTAACATCCCTCAACCTCACCCTCACTTTCATCCTTGTAGAATCGTTGTCTATTTTCTTGAGGAATGATATCATTATTCTCAGGATCACTTGAATTACTTTCACCATTAACTATATTTCCTTGATGACCATCATCTGGCAAAGGTAAATCATTAATTAATGCATTCCTTTCTTAATTGATAAAAGGTCGGGGATAATGGTGTTGAAGGATTCATGGTTATCAAAACCGGACCGGACCGGCCGGTCCAACCGCGGTTAACCGGCTCCGGCCAATAATCCGGTTTCGCGTGCCTTAAAACGGAGAGAAAGTTGGTCGGACGGTTATCGACTGGTTTAGCCGGTTAACCGGCAGAACCGCCTAACTCAGAACGCCGGTTTTGGGACTAGTATTGCTTACCCTCTCTGTTCTAATCCGAGGCATGAGTGAAAATATAACAAAAAATTTTATTATTTTCCATTTCTGACTTTTTTCTTGCTTTTCCGTCTATTACTAACCCCAAATCCATCCACTTTCCACTTTATTCTTTGTCTTAATTATTATTTTTACTTTTTATTTCCCTAATTATCGATCTCATTTCCCTCTCTTCTTCTCATTAATTACTTTCCCAAACAAACCTTGCATTATTAATAGTGATTAATAGGCTACATTACCTTACTTTAATTCCTTCACTCTCATTCATCTCAATTGACCGCCTCCAACAGGCAAACTCCAAAGAGACAAAGACTCTCATTGCCTCCAATCAATTTGTCAATCTCTATATGTGTTCTTATTTATTTATAACTACTTTGTTAACTTTTTTTAATGTTGTATTCTTCAACCGAATATATATAAGTTATAAAATTCCAAATTTAAATACTAGTATTTATATTCAAAACTGACTTGACCGGCCTAATTTTGCTCCAATTGACATGAACATTGAAATTGTACAAAATCGTAGAAATTGTAGATTTTATGGATCTTAAAGTTTAAATCATGACTTTATGGGATTTTAAGGTTCAAAGATTTTATAGTAAAATCAGGATCAGAACCTTAAGTAAGATCGTAATAACGTAAGATTTTAAAATTAAAATCAGGATTTTGGCTACATTGTCCTTGCCAAAAAATTCTACAACCAAGTCCTTGAAGTCTCCAATATTCACCCCCTCCTCCGTCCCCAGATCGCTCCTCCCAAATCCTCATCCCACCACTTGGGAGCCTCCACCTGATGACTTTTTGAAGAGCAAATTCGAGGAATTTGTTCGTGAATCAAGGTGCTTGTTTAATCTTGTTATCCGTGGCTCAGACGGGCATGTGGTGCTGGCAGTAGTGTGCGTCACCATGGAGTAGTCAAACCCTACCTGGCGAAAATCCTAGCAGTAAGAGATGCTATCACCATCGTCGCCTCAAGATCATTGACTCACCTGATAGTGGAAGGTGATTCTGAGGTGGTCGTCAACCATATCCGGCAAGATGTCCGGGAAGATTCCTTTGGAGGTCCGGTACTCCGGGAGTGTCATCAGATCCTAGACTCTATATGAGTTTGTCTAGAGTTTAGGGCGATTACTAGAGACGCCAACAGTGTTGCCCAAAGGGTGGCGCGTAAAGCACTACTATTGTCTCTCCTAGAGTTAGAGTCTTCGGACTTTATTGGATAGCTTCACTAGGGTGTCTCTTGTAGGGGGTTCCTGGTTAATTTTGTTAGTATAACTCTTGTCTCTCTTGATATCACACGGAAAAACAAATATTTAGTTTGTTTCGGCTACTAGATCAATCAAGACTCAAAACTCAAAAGAGAGGGAGGGAAGGGATGAAGTTCTTAAGTCAATTATTTATTTAAGAAGTATCTTTGGCAATGTTCAAGAAGGCGCTAGGCGTAAGGCGGGCGTTGAGGCCTTGCCTAGCGCTTAGTTCGCCTAGGCGTTGTAAGAAAAATAACTATTTATACTACATGATGAATGAATTATAACTCAATTACTTCCTTAGTTCAGTAAAATGATTAGAACTTACTTAATATTTAACGATAAATAGCTCACAAATTCATAAAATTATAGCTCAATAGCTCACAAAGTTCTTAATCTATTTAAACTATTGAGATAGGAAATGGATTTTGTAGTGGATATCAATCTCCTCCTTTGACATTGAGTGCCTAGTTGCATTATATTATTGCCCAGGAGACATTTTGATGTCACCTTACTCTATTGACGTGTTCCTAGTATCTAATGACAGAAACTTGTTCATTCCAAAAAATCTAACTAGGCGTGAAACTCCTAACAAGACATTTTGGCATTATCTAATATCTATGTGTGTCTAAGTGTAAGCATATGCACTCATTTTTTAACTATTAAGCTAATTAATAATTTACTTTCCATTAAAATTTAAACATACAAAGTTTCAAGACTTTAAATACAACCTATAGAAAATTTTCAAATAAAAAAACTATGCCTAATTTCCCACTTCCTACACTACTACGCAAAACAAAACTAGCTCCCTAAGCAATGACGTGTGGGTGAGAGCGGGCAACAATTAAAACCAAATAACACCGCTTGGGCACCTCTGAGTTTCAGAAAAGCGCTTTTTATGCCGCTTAACCCATAAGCGCAGCGTTATTGTCGGGCTAAGATAAGGTGACTAGGGGGTCCTTAGTCACATGACTAAGCAAATCTCAATTATTGAACATCATTAAAATCTAATGGTTCAGATCTATCTAGTTTAATGAAGGGTAATGTGGTAATTATATAATTAATTTATTTAACAATTTAAAAAAACATAATGTACTTCTCCCGTCCGCTTCGTTTTCTGGGATTCTCCGGCGGCTCCCCAACCCCGCCGTTCCCAGGCCGATGGGATTAATCTCCCAAAAAAGTTTCTGCTTGTGGGAATGAATTCCCCAAACAAGCTTTTCTCCTCCCACAGCTACGTACGGAGGGAGGGAGAGAGAGAGAGAGATTTTCTGGTCGGAAAATTTTTTTTCGGCGACCATCGTGGTCGGAGAAGAATTTTTTAGCGAAAGTTCCAATTTTGTGATGTTTGTTGACATATTTTTTAATGTTTGTACGCTTTGTTATTTTGTAATGTTCGTAAACTTTGTTATTTTTGTGCACCATGTTTATCATTTTTGTCAACCATGTTTGTAATGTTTTTTATGTCTAAAAAACAGCCTGGTTGACTTTTGGATGGAACTTCTCTATACAGAGATGGAGCCTCCAAAGTCAACCCGGGTGTTTTTTCCCGTTCGTATGGATTGTCGGTCTAGTTTGTCATTTTTGTCCACCATGTTCGTACTGTTTGTATGTCTAAAAAACACCCGGGTTGACTTTGGGAAGGAGCCCCTCTATATAGGGATGGAGCCTCCAAAGTCAACCCGGGTGTTTTTTCCCGTTCGTATGGATTGTCGGTCTAGTTTGTCATTTTTGTCCACCATGTTCGTACTGTTTGTATGTCTAAAAAACACCGGGTTGACTTTGGGAAGGAACCCCTCTATATAGGGATGGAGCCTCCAAAGTCAACTCGGTTATTTTTCTTTATGAATCGCTATTTGCTGCCCAGCTTTTACTATTTACCGCCCGTAGTTACAAAAAATTGGACAATTTTGCCCCTTCTCCATTTCAAAAACCCTAAACCTATCAATTCCCTAACCCAACCCTCTCACCCTTCCCTCCCAAACCCTTCCGCCTCCTCCCTCCCAACCATTGCAAGCGGCCACTGCAACCTCCTTGTCGGATCAGAGATGGTGGTCGTCGTCGGACACAGAGATGGATGGTCTGGCGCCTGCAATCGGACAAGGCCCGCCCACCGACGACGGACGGGGTCCGCCCGCTCTTGTCGGAAGGGGTCCGCCCTCCCGCTTCGGACGGCGTCCTCCCGTCGGCGTCGGACCGGTGCCTGGCGTACGTTTCCCGGCGGCGAACCTGTCGCCGGTGACTTTTTCTTTCCCAAAAATTGATTAATGATTATGGATTCATAATTAATATTTAGCTTTTAAGTATTGTATTAAATTATTACTAAATACCAAAATTCTTTAATTAACCCACTAATTCATCCGTTTCCGCAATTAACAACCATTGATAATAAGGAAACAATTAACACGTCTTTCCCTAATTGACAACAGTAAAAAAGATTCCTTAATTATTAACACGTCTTTCCTTAATTAACACGTTTAATTCTATAACCCACATCTAATGTCATTTCCATTAATGAAAAAAATATAATGTCATTTCCTTAATTGACATCCGAAAAAAAAATCTTAACTAACATGTCCTGCACCATGACTCACGTCTAATTTCATCTCTCCAATTAATAATAAGAAAAAATTCTCTTAATTAACACTACTAAGCACGAAAAGAGGAGATTTTGTATTATTAATGACAATCCAACCATTTTCCTTAATGAAACCATACGTGGGTAGTGGTTCAAATAATTTCACCAATTAAGATTTTGCCGTCCGGTAAATTACTATTTGCCGTCCGGTAAATTACTATTTGCCGCCTAAAATTTTAGAAATATATATTAAATTTGCACAATTTATGGATAATTTATTTAATTGTCTTGAATAGTTCTAATATATATATATAATTTTTTATAAAATTTTATCCAAGGAATCGGGTACGGTTGCGGAGAGGACTATTTGTGATTGTGAAAGGTTGGAAAAATGCATCTTATTGCAATTACTAGAGCCATCAACAAGAAAAATTATAGAAACTCTCATCGATCCCTTAAAATGTGAATATGATTGTAGTGGAATTGACCGTTTCTCGATTGAACGTCCCGGGCATAAAACGATGAATAGTGTACAAATTTTCTTCGAGATTTTTCGGGGCTCTGTGGGTCGTAACGACGTGTTTTATGAGCCTACCACGCGTATTTCAACGATGCTAACGATTGTTGTTAGTGGATGCATAAACGATTTTGCCTCTAAAACAATGTCGTAGTAGCATTCGATGGATCGATATTGAAGGTAGCTATTTTATTGGAATGAGGGTTTAGGGTTTGGGAGATGTAAACGGTGTAAGATTGGATGGAGTCGAGTTGGTTCGTTATCCGTCATTTTGGGTCAGATTGGTTCAAATGTGGTCAAATCCTAATTAAGTCAAATCCTACCCTAATTAGTCAAGGTCAAACCCTAATCTCGCTAGAACCTAATTGGTCAAAATCAAATCATAATCTTTGATTTAATCACTAATTTAACTATATTCTTTGAATTAATCATTACTAACCACCTTCAAAATCCACCATTGCTAGTTACTAGTTGCCACATTTATTCCTTCAACTATTTTTATACAAAAACAAAATTACCTAAAGAGAACAAACTCAACAGCATAGACAAACACGGAAAATACAATTAAGTTCAACTATTTTTATACAAAAACAAAATTACCTAAAGAGAACAAACTCAACAGCATAGACAAACACGGAAAGTACAATTAAGTTAATTGTATTAACCTAAAGTGATTATTCCTTCAACTTTTTGCCTTAATTTCGTTCCCCATAATTAACAACATAAAAGACTTCTAATTACATTTCAAGTTAAACGATATTGGAACTGAAAGTGGGTGGTTAAAAAATGCTCTCAACTGACCTAGGCGGAAGCCCGGCTCCGGCGCCGACTCTCCTCCCTTCTGATCGGCCACCGGATCTCCCTGGCTCTTTAGCGATTGCTGATCCCATTTCTTCGTCTTCTCCGGTGGTTACGGCCACAAGTTTCAGTGACATGGTTGTTGATTCCTCTGTTTTGATTGTGCAGGAGCGGTCGCCCCAAGCCCCGATGGCGGGAGTTCAGGCAGGGTTGGGGGCTGGTAAAGGATTCTCGTACGCCAATGCGGTCAAGGGTGCTCCGGCGAAGGCGGCATCCCTGAATCAGGTGCAACGCTGGACTCCAGTAGGCGAAAATGACTTAGTGACCAGTGTTCGGAATGGGGAACCAGCACTTACAATTTCGGCCGAATTCAAAGCTAGGTTATGTGCTCCATGGGAAAGAACTCTTGTGGTCCGATTGCTCGGACTAAGGATTGGCTTTGTCACGCTGTGCAACCGGCTAAAGAGCCTGTGGCGGCCGATGGGTTCGATGGAGGTCAAAGACTTGGATCATGATTGCTTCCTGGTGAAACTCGACAACGAACAGGACTACTTCCGAGCCTTAACTGATGGCCTGTGGGTTATATACGATCACTACCTGGTTGTTCAACAGTGGTCACCAAAGTTTAAGGCCTCCGATCCTCTGCCAAAGACAATGATTGTCTGGGTTCAGCTTCCCGCGTTGAAAATTCATTTTTATCATAAGGAGGTGCTCACGATGTTGGGAAATCTTATTGGTCGGACGATTAAGCTGGACTACCATACTCTGAATCAAGAACGAGCAAAGTTTGCTCGGCTGGCGGTTGAAGTCGACATCTCGAAGGCCTTAGTTCCCAGGATTTGGCTCGACGACGAGTGGCAAAAGGTGGAATATGAGAACTTACCGGAGGTCTGCTTCAGGTGTGGTAAGATTGGTCATGAAGCGGGAACATGTCCGCTGAACAATCCGGTTGTAGCGCCGGTGCAACTGATGATCGTTGGTGGAACAACTCCGGCGAGCCCTATTACGCCGGACGATCAAAATCCGGGTTATGGCCCATGGATGCTGGTGACAAGGAAAACCCGGCGTAATCCTAGGGAAGACCAGAGAAAAGGAAAGAGTGATCAGGAGACAGGGGCGGGAAATCAGGGAATGAAATCAATTGCCAAAAATGGGTCTCGGGGGATCACGGTGAAGGAAAGCGATACATTGAAGCCGTCGGTGGATTCGCCCAACGGTCACTTACCTGTTCAAGGGCAGAGTTACGATAGGAAGGGGACTGCCGACAAGAAGAGGGGAGGAGGCTAAGAAAGGAAAGGGGAAAGCTCATGGGAGTGTTTCTGGGAAGGGGAAAGGGTTGCTTGGGCCAGGGCCCAATAAGGAGGAAGCAAGGGTGTGCGAGTCTGGGCCAGGATCTTCTGATGGGGGGTCTTCAACTGCAGGGCCTTCTAGGCCCACTTCAATCCAGACTGCTGAGGCGAAGTCGCCAGGAACGGGACTTGGGCCGGGTGTTGTCAGCAGGCCCACTAACCCCCTCCCTCCAATCCCTAAGCTTCGGACTGTTACAGGCTCGAATGGAACGGTTATGCAGATCATTGATAGTAATGTGCTGGACAAAGAGAACGCGGATCCAAAGGAGGCCCCTTCACCCTCTTTGACGAGCAGAACGAAACGGAACAAAAGCAAAAAGGTGCAGCAGAGGAGATCGCCGACAAGGTTGAATTCGGTGAAGCCCTTACAGGTTTGGTCCCCAGTGAAAGAAAGGAAACCAAAATCCAAAGGTCGATTGGCGACGCTGACTTTGCAGGAGATTCATGCCTGGACGGAAGCGGCGAAACGGCCGACTAGCGGAGATGGAGAGGCGGCCGCGGGGCAGGCCGGCAGAACCGGGGAGGAAGACAGACCGGTCGACGGCGCCGCTGCTTAGGCAGGGTGGCTCGTCCTCTTTTTGTTGGCGGTCCTTCCTCCAGACTCCTTCTTCTGTTCTTCTTTATCTATGCCGATGGGTTACAGCTTAAGGGTTTTCTCGTGGAACGTCGGAGGAGCTGGTAGCAGAGCTTTTTATAGGGCTCTGAAATTGGCAATCCAGAATCATCGTCCTGACTTTGTGATTTTGTTGGAACCACAAATGAGCGGCGAGTCGGCTAATGGGGTTTGTGATAAATTGGGATTCCCAAATTCGTGCAGGGTGGAAGCTACAGGGCGAGCAGGAGGTGTGTGGGTTTTTTGGGATGGGGGAATTTTCTCGGTACAGGCCGTTGCGGCCTGTTCTCAGCACTTAACTCTGCAAATTTCCAGAGGCAATGATCCTCCGTGGATGTTGTCCGCAGTCTACACTTCTCCACGGCAACGGGAGCAACGAGTCCTTTGGCAGGGGCTGATCTCTGAAAGCAAGTACATTGAGATTCCCTGGCTGCTCACTGGGGATTTCAATGCCATTAGCAGACCGGAGGAGAAGTCGGGACTGCCTGCGAGGAACACGCTGAGAAGGTGCCAAATTTTCACGGAGAGAATTAATTCGGCAGAGTTAGTTGATCTTGGGTTCTCGGGGCCAAAGTTTACCTGGTCCAGAGGAGATCATGATCAGACTTTCAAGGCAAGCAGGTTGGACAGAAGTTTATGCAACCTCAGATGGAATGCGACCTTCCCCAACTCGACGGTGATTCATCTTCCGCGCTACCAATCTGATCATAATCCTATTCTCACCAATGTGATTCTGCAGCCGAGTCAGCCATATCCTGCGAAGCAGTTCAGGTTCGAAGCTGCCTGGATGACGAACAATACCCTCCCGAACCTGATTTCGAGTGCCTGGGATGGGAATGTGGCTCTTCCAATGGCGCTTGAGTCACTGGCAGGGAAGCTTGTTCACTGGAATGAGGAGGTGTTTGGCGATGTTAAGCAAAGGAAAAGAAGACTTCTAGCGCGTCTTAAGGGGATTGAGTTGAGACTGGCAGGTGCCTTCTCGCCTGGTTTGGCCAAACTTCACTCCAAATTGTCGAGAGAGCTGGACAAAGTGCTTGAGCAAGAAGAGCTTATTTGGTTTCAGCGCTCCAGGGACAATTGGGTCAAGTATGGGGAGAGGAACACTGCGTATTTCCATCAGCTAGTCAATATCCGGCGGCGGTTCAACAAGATCGAAGCTCTTCTGGATGACAACGACGATTGGGTGACGGATTCCCACTCTCTTGCTCTCCTTGTTTTTAATTTTTTCACTAATATTTATTTGCAGGAGAATTCCCCCTATGAGGATAGGATGCCGAAGGGTGTATTTCCTCGGATGAGCCACACAGAAGCGACATCTCTCTTCAGACCTTTCGGTATTCAGGATATTCACAAGGCGATCTTTGACATGAAGCCGTTTCAGGCCCCAGGCCCTGATGGTTTTCAGGCCGTGTTCTATCAGCAGTTCTAGCAGGTAGTAGGGAAGTCTCTCTCCGACATGGCTATGTCTTTCTTTATGACAGGTACTCTGCCGGAGGCGGTGACGGAGTCCACGGTAGTTCTCATTCCTAAAGTGGATTCGCCGGAGAGGGTTACTCAGCTTCGCCCTATATCTCTCAACAATGTCTGCCTCAAGAGTATCACGAAGGCCATGACCTCGAGACTAAAGACCATGATGCGCCAATGGGTTTCCCCGAGGCAGAGCAGCTTCATCCCAGGAAGGCAAACTACGGACAACATCATTGTAGTCCAGGAAGTTTTACACTCCTTCACGAAAAGAAGAGGAAAGAAAGGAGGCATGGTGTTTAAGATTGATTTGGAAAAAGCGTATGATATGCTGCGGTGGGACTTTCTGAGGGACACTTTGGAAGAGGTTGGCTTACCCAGTTGCTGGATTAGATGCATCATGTACTGCGTGAAGCATAATACCATGAGGATTAGATGGAACGGAGAGCTGTCTCAACCGATCATGCCTTCCCGAGGAGTTCGTCAGGGAGACCCTCTTTCTCCCTATCTGTTTGTTCTCTGCATGGAGCGACTTTCTCATAAGATAGATGAGGCCGTTAATGATGGACTGTGGAAGGCCGTGAGGCTTACCAGGTCTGGGCCGCCATTAACTCATCTTTTTTTTGCAGATGATTTGTTGCTTTTTGCAGAAGCGGAAAGGAAGCAGATTGGAGTCATCAAAAAGTGTTTGGAAGATTTCTGTCATAGCTCGGGTCAGCGAGTGAACTTCAGCAAATCCATCGTCTATGTCTCTCCGAACATAGCAAGGCATAAAGCGGAAGCGCTGAGTGCGTATGCAGGGATCCCGTTGAAAGCAGCCTTGGGGAGATATCTTGGCATTCAGGCTATACAGGAGAGGGTCACGAAAGGGAGATACCAGTCACTTATCTTGCGCATTCAGAAGATGGCGCCGTGGAAGGCGAAAAGGCTGTCCTTTACCGCTCGTCTTACTGTTGCTAGATCGGTAGCTGCTTCTTTACCCGTCTATACTATGCATACAGAACTAATCCCTAGTGGTGTTTGCAGGAGTATTGATAAGATCAGCAGAGATTTTATTTGGGGGGATGAGGAAAATCATGCCAAGTTTCATCTAGTGGCTTGGGAAAGACTGACGAAGCCCAAAGCGCAAGGGGGATTGGGGATTCGGCCGACTCGGCAGGCTAATCTGGCCATGCTAGCCAAGGGAGGGTGGCGGCTTCTCCAAGACAAAGAGAGTATTTGGCGGGGGATCCTTCTTTCGAAGTATGGGGGTCTGAGAGCTGGTCTTGATGTCCTGAGGAAAGTTCAGGGAAGTTCCTTTACCTGGAGTAGCTTCTCTAAAGCTGCTGACCTTCTTAAGCAAGGCTGTGCTTGGAATATTAGGAATGAGAAAAGAACTAAGTTTTGGTCTGATCCGTGGGTTTTGCAGGTGCCCCTGAAGGATATGGTAACGGGAGACATGCCGGAGAATGCAGATGAGGCGATGGTTGCGGATTTCGTCCGAGCAGACGGCAGTTGGCGTATTGAGCTTCTCTCAGGGCGCCTTCCACCCGATATTATCAGCAAAATTACGAGCACAGCGGTGGATACTATCTCCCAAGAGGAGGACTCTCTGTTCTGGGCCCCAGCTGCCGATGGCCGCTTCTCCACTAAATCAGCCTATGCACTTCTCACAAAGCATGACCAGCAGGGCACGGACGGGGTTTGGAAGGAGATTTGGCGGTTACCAGTGCCTGAGCGGGTAAGATGTTTTATGTGGCTGGCTTTTCAGGGCAAGCTAGCCACGAATGTGCTGCGTTTTCAGAGGAGGGTAGCTGAGTCGCCATGCTGCCAGAGGTGTGCTGAACAGCCGGAGACGGTGCTCCACATTCTTCGTGATTGCGCCCCCGCGGCTTACTTTTGGTGCCGTCATGTTCCCCAGCAGAAGCAGCATGAGTTTTTCAGTGATAGCCATGAGGTCTGGTTTCGCAAGAACATCATGAGCAAGGAGAGCAGCAGTACAAGGATTAATTGGCCGGGGTTCTTTAGCATGGCCACTTGGCTGATTTGGAAGAATCGCACCACGGCCTCTTTCAAAGGGTTGAGGGCAGCTCTTTCAGCTTCCTCTCTGACGCAGTCGATCGTGACTAAGACCAAGCTTTGGGATGACTCATGGCATGCCCCGGAGCTGTTCTTAAATCACAAGAGGAAGCCGGTGGAACGTGTCGCGGCGGAGATTGGTTGGACACCGCCTTTGGAAGGTTGGGTCATGCTTAACACTGATGGAGCGTCGAATGGAAATCCGGGGCCAGCCGGGGCTGGTGGGCTGGTGCGCGACTCGACAGGTAGATGGCTGGGAGGCGTGGTTGCTAATCTTGGGTATGCGACGGCGGTTTTAGCGGAGTTGTGGGCCATTTATTATGGTCTTGAGTTGGTCTGGAACCTCGGGTTCAGAGTAGTAAAGATTGCCACTGATTCCAAGTTGGAGCTTCAGCTGATTCAGGAGAGACATGATCCCATTCACCCTCATGCCACGCTTCTGAGTCTTATTCGAAGAAAGATTGGTCAAGACTGGTTGGTTAGTCTGTCTCATACGTACCGGGAAGGGAATAGAGCTGCGGACTGGCTCTCGAAGCACAGTCTCGTCTACCCCTACGGTAAGTATGAGTTGGCTGCCCCTCCTACGGGTATGATCCATTTGTTGCAGGACGATGTTAGAGGTATCACCTTTGAGCGCCAAATTGTGGCAAACTCTTCTTCCCTATCCTAATCCCCCCCTGTAATTGTCTCCTTCTTGGCTTTTGCCTCCCTTTTTTTGCAAAAAATTAACAACATAAAAAAATTCCTTTATTAACATATATGACCTTTATTCCGCACATAACCTTAATTACCAACCGAAACAAATTGAAATTTCATTAATTATTTACATTTAACACAATTTATTAATATTTATTTCTTTAATTAATTTCCTCAATCAAAGTGCTTTTTAATTTTAGTTCCAGCGGCTACCGTCCGAAATCCGGCGTCGCACCACCCCTTCCGGCCCGAAGTCCGACCGACCCCGTCCGATGTCAGTAATCGGACCCCGTCCGACGGCGCAGATCGGACCCTGTTCGACACTTTTGCGCGGACCCCGTCCGATAGTCGGCGGCGGCGGTGGACAGGTTTTTTTTTTCCTGTTTCGTTTATTGGGAGGTCTGGCGGTTGTGGGTTGGGAAGTCCGGCGGCCGCGATGATGTGGTGGACCGCGGAGGAGATGATTTGGGAGGTTCGGCGGCGGTGATGATGTGGTGGACGGAAGTGGAGATGGTTTTTGGTGGTCGGCGGTAGAGGTTGCACTGGCCGACGGCGATGGTTTGGAGGGAAGAGTGTGAGGGTGATGGAATGGAAGGAGTGTTGATAGGGGCATAAATGTAATTTTGAATTAATACATAGGCGGCAAATAGTAAATATACGGGCGGCAAATAACAACTCTCTTTTCTTTTTGTATGGTTTGTATTGTTTGTCAGTCTAGTTTGTATTGTTTGTACAGTTCATACGTTTGTAATGTTTGTAAATATGTGTGTATGTTTTGTCGCTCTAATTTGTAATTTTCGTATGTTTGTATGGTTTGTACTGATTGTAAATCCGGTTTGTATACTTCGTAATTTTCCATAATACCCAGACTACCCCTGTCATTAATTAAACAACTCTTCCCACTTTTTAACCATTGGATTGAAGTGTCCAGATCTAATGGCTAGGAGGGGCTTAGTCAAGTGACTAAGGACCCCCTCTTAGTCATGAGATCCGCTCTCGTTCTTGTCCCTGTGAATGCTTAGGCGCGCTTACTCGAGCGCTTAACGCTGATCTTTGGATCATTTCAGCTACTAGATCAAGACTCAAAAGAGATGGAGAACCAGATAGGGTGTTAGCACCTACTAACACTAATTATAAGGGTTATAGTAACTACTAATTATAACAATTCCTTTCCTTTCTTTCGATTCATACCTTCATGGATTTGAATTTCATATGCAAAGCAGTCTTATACTTAAACTTAATATATTTTAAGATTTAGTACATTATTTTGCGTATAAGTCCTAAAATATTTATGAAAAATTAAATTTATTACCTAAATTTTTTATGTCTTATATTTTAATATCTAAAATTATAAAAATGTACAAATATGTTTAATTGTATGAGGATTTTGGTGTGCTTTTTAAGAAGCTTGTGGTCTGTTTTACGAGGTTTCTGCCTTTCTTGTATATTTTAAAAAACTTGTGGTCGTCTTTAATGAACTTGTGTGGTTTGATTATGGTTTCTGGTATCCTTCATAAAGTTTATGGTCCGCTTTAAACAACCTGTAGTCTATTTTAATAGACTTGCGGACTGCTCTATGAAGTTTTTGGTATGCTCAAGGGAACTTGGTGGTATGTTTTATGAGGTTTTTGGTGTGTTTCAAGAAACTTGTGGGTTGCTATGAGTTTTTTAATATGCTTTAAGAATTTTATGTTATGTGTTTTCGGTCTTTGTGTTTCTGGTCTGCGTTTTATGGCATGCTTCATGTTGTGTGACACTCATTTTTATCATGTGAACAATTTGCATAACTTAGGATGCATCTCTAACTATCTTTGGATGAATTTGATAAATGTGATATCAACAACCAAGCTAAGATAACAAAAACACCTCATAAATCTTTGTATAGAGAATTAGAACCTATGGATCTGTTTCACTGTGATATTTGTGAACTAGATGGAACGCTACTAGGAACCATAAGAGATACTATATCATGTTCATTAATGATTTCTCTCATTATTCTTTTGTTTACTTGATGAAGAATAAAAGTGATGCTCTTGATATGTTCAAACTGTTTGTGGTAGAATTTGAGAATCATTGAAATACAATAATCAAACGACTTAGGAGTGATAGAGGATCAAAGTGTGTGACTCTAATCCTTTAAGGGAATTCTATAGTCAACATAGTATCACTCTTGAAACTACTGCACCATATTTGCTTGAAATGAATGGTAAAAGTGAGAGGAAAAGTAGGACATTTACTGAATAAGTTCTTACTATAATGCTTAATCTTGGTGCTACTTCTTCTTGGTGGGGTGTAATATTGTTGACTGTTTGTTATGTTTGATCATGTGATAACACCAAAATTATTGTTATTTACCTTCCTATATCTTGGTAGTTTCAATTCATATTCTCCATTAACAAGTATTTAAATCAATATTTTAGCCGAAATTCGCTTCCTATCGTATTCATGAACGTTATCAAGTCAAGGTGTTTGTTATATAGCATTGAAGGAAATGTAGGGCATCAAGTGTAGGAAAAGGGACAAGAAGAGTTCGTTGATAGAATTCATAAGATCAAGGGATATGTGAAAGCTCACGGCCATGATCTTTATCCCGAGGCCTTGAACTTCAGTAAGCCAAAGCTAAAAAGAAACAGAAGGTCTCGCGGACCCACACTTGCGATCCTTCAATATGAAATTGTGAGTTAAGGAATTCAACTATATGATCTTTAAGTAGATCTGGCAATCGGGTCGGGTTAGGTAATTTCGGGTTGGTGACTTCGGTTACAGGTCGGGTCATGTTTGGTTGGCTTATTTTGGGTCAAATATTGACCCAATCATTCGGTTTATGAGCGCTCTCAGAAACAATATCAAACATGTTTCATATTTTCTCAAGGAACACAAATTTTCACATATGCATGACAATAGTTTACCTCACACATGTCAATTAACATATTCTCAAATCCTCCCATACTAATGAAATGAAATACAAATTGTGCAAATCGTCAAAAAACAATCATAAGAGTAATACTACTAGAAGAAACACATGATATTTGATTATCCTTAAACTCTAAACATGTCATTTAAATCCTTGTGTTTTTTTAAAACATCTAACCAATTTATGAGTGATTTTATCATTTTGGGAGTGATATATAAAATGGAACGAGTCTAACTGATCGAACTGTTAACCCACCCAAATCGACCAAAAAAATTACGGGTTGTCGGGCTTGGGTCATTTGAATTTCGGGTTATAAAAATTTCTACTTTCGAGCGGTTTCGGGCTGAGTCAACGGGTCGGGTTATAATTTGTGAATTATATATTCAAGTATGAACTAAATAATACATCACTGGAAAAAAAAATCATGAGACATTTCACAAGTTCACGGTCATGAACTTTCCTGAACGAGACCGTAAACTTGTGAAAGGTCACTTAATTGAGTTTGACTACTTGCTGTTTCCGAGTCAAGCAAATTTGTTTAATTATGGCCCTTTCCTGTCCAATTTGTATCGATCGATCAGGGACACAAATGATCTCATTTATTACAAAGTGATAATTACTTTTGGGAGACAGAATTTGTACATCATCCCATTATTACATCATCAAGTTCGTAACCGAATTACAAACCGACTCCTCTAACTCATAAATTATGTCGATAATGTAGTTATTGCTGTTGCTTTGCTCCGATCATCGGCCTTTAAGCTCCAAATATCCTGGATCCCCCACATATATAAGTAAAACTTGTGAGACAGAGTTGCAAGATTTGCTCTCCATTTTCAGGAAAAGGAGTTTTACTGTCACTTGTGGTTGAAAATTAAATGTATAATTCAATCGACCTTACCTCTGAAATCGAGATTGACTTCTTGCCGTTCTACAAAGAAGCAAAAAATTGTTATCATTCCACAGTTGATGATGAATATCTTTATGATTGGGGAGGAAGATTTGAAATAATGTCTATTTTTTATCCAAATTTTTTCGGATTCTTTTATATTATTCAAACCGATCGAAATACTAAGAATTAGCCAAATGTTAACTTTCCGTCAGCAATTTTGTTAGTAATATTGACTTTGACAACATGATACTGACTTGAAAGAGACACATGAAGGTAAACATTGCAAGATTTTAGTATTTTAACTAAGAAAAAAAGTTACAAAATTATCAACGATAACGTAAAAATGTTTGACATTTTGATGTATTACGAAAGATCTGGTTAATAATTAATAGCATTTTAATAGGTTTGGATAATCTAAAAGAATTAAAAAATATTTGGATAAAAACTATACATTATCTTAAAAAAAAGCCAAGTAATAATTACTGATAGAGATGAATTATTACATCTTGGTGGAGGAATTTGCTCGCGGGGGAGCTGCTGCTACTGGCTTTGCCTGCTCAACTTGTTCACTTGGTATGGCCACATTCTTCACCTGCAATAATAATTATTACATTAATGATATATATATAATAATACACAAAATATAAATGCTCTAATCATCATCATCGTCATTACCAAATTCCTGAAGTGCAGATTGTAGAGCAGCTGAATGTATCTCTGCTTGGCCAGCTTCTGATGTTTGTTCAGCACCCTCCAGAACGTGTACACGCTCCCCATGTTCAACGTCTTGTTCGCGTATATCCTCCACGTGTAGCAGCCCTCGATTCGGGCGAGCCCGGCCTCCGAAATCCGACGCCAGTGAGCAGCCTCCACCTCGCACTTTTCGAAGAAGTCGGCCATCTTCCGGGTCGCGTCTTCGCCGCCGTTGGGATCGATGTGGAACCCAGAAACACCGTCCACGATGATCTCGGCGGGGCCGCCCTGGTTGGTGGCGAAAGTGGGGAGGCCGGAGCTCATGGCCTCGATCACGGTGAGGCCGAACGCCTCGTAGAGAGCCGGCTGGACGAAGGCTCCCTTGGAGTCGGCGATGCGGCGGTAGAGCTCGCCGTTGCGCCTCCGGTCGGTCTGTGCACGTATCCACCTCATCTGCCCCCTGAGGTCGTACATCTCGATCAGCGCGTGCATCTTCTTGATCTCCGAGGTCTCCTCTCTGTCCTTTGACTCGCTGGGGTTGAAGAATCCCCCGACGACCACCAGGTTGACCAAGCTCCTCAGCCTCTTGTCCCTGCCGTACCACTCCGTCAGCCCCGTGATGTTCTTCACCGTGTCCAGCCTCGCCATCGTGAATAGCATCGGCTTCTTCGTGTCCGCCAGGAACCCACTTCGATTCATTCACACAACAAAAAAAATGGGACGTACAACAATTCAAATCGGATCGAATATTTGGGAATGAATGAAGAAAACCAAGTAGTAGTACACTAGCTAGCAGAGTGAAGTGAGATAGAGACAAGTACATGTGGTCACGCGTATCGTTGGGGTTGAAGAGGAGCTCTTCAATGGCGGGGGTGAATTCGGTGAAGCGGCGCTGCTTGTCGGTGTAAGGGAAATAGATGGACTGGTCGGCTCCAGGGGAGGCGATGTTGAATTTCGGGTCGAATATGTTGATACCGGATACAACCCGGGCCAGACCCGGCATTGTGAAGGCAGAATGGCTCTCGTACTGACCGGCCCGATCCTTGCTGTTAATCAATTCGTTAGATAGATAGACAGACATTGTTGCAATAATTCAAGTTGTTGCGAGACGTTTAATTGTATATCATATATTACTCACAAGTAGGGCTGATTATTTGGTCCGGGTTTTTTGGTTTTATCCGAAATCGGATCGTGTAACCCGGACCGAGACCGGACCGGGACCGGATAGCAAACAATTCAATCCAATCTTTGGGCCTAGATTTGAGATAAAAAATCGTTTGGGAGCGGACCAAAAACCGGATAAAGACCGAATAAGAGTCCAATACCCAAAATTTAACCTCCTCACCCTTTCAGCCCTCAGGCCACTCAAATCCCTCTTCAGGCCACTCAAATCCCCACAAGCTCAATCTAAAATCAAAACCGAATTGGGACCGGACCGGATCAACACCGGATTGTATCCAATCCAATCTTTGGTCCTTATATTCTCGAAAAGACCGGACTGGGACCGGATCAATTCGGGCCAATTTAACAGGACTGGACCATATAGCCACCCCTACTCACAAGGACTTGAAGCACAGGTCCACATACCATGTGCTTAACAAATGGGGGTTACTAGGATTCGAACACAAGACCTCTCGGTCACATAAGACTCTGATACTATGTCAAGAACCAGTTGGTCCCAATAACTCGACTTAATGGGAGAGGTTCAATCGTGAATCATATACCACACACTAACAACCACTAAAACCCAATTGGAAATCATGGATTGGATAGGAACCAGGAAGAACACAAAATTACCTTCCGGCAATCTCCTGGTAGGTGCTGGCAATGATGAAATCGGCAGCGTTCATGGCCATCATATCCGCCATGAATTGGCAGGAGAAGTGGTATTTTGGGTCCAGTTCCTTCCACTTGATGTCCGAATCCTCGTACTTGGTCTTCTCCAGAGCGTGCGCAATAGTCGCCTGGGTCACTCCCAGCCTGGTGGCCATAAGGGTTGCACCCAAATTACCGTCAGAGTAGTTGCCGATGATGAGGTCCGGTTTGCCTTCCATCAGTTCCAGCACCTTGGCCGTCACTTCCCGCGTGAATTTCTCGATGTAAGGGTAGACATCAAACCGAGAAACCCACTTCTGAAGCACCGATCCATCCTCGGCCCTCCTGAACGGCACTCGTAGGATGCTGGAGTGCTTCGTCCCGTCGATGCTCTCCAATTCTTGGTTGCACTTGGTTCCTCTCGCATCTGGAATCAGTCGCGTCACCTATACTCATATATATATATGTTCGTCAAAGATCGATTTGCAATTAATATTGTTATGAGACAATTCAAGTACCATATCAGAAATACAAATGAAGGAACCCTTTTATATAAGTGTCCACCTAACTCAATTAGTACATAGCCTTTTGGGGAGGATATCAAAGAGTAAAACCGTGCAAGCTTGACTCAAAGCAGACAATATCGTACTAATTGATCACCCCGGTTATGACAAATATAAAACCTAGCGATTAGCTTATAGCTAGCTTTCCTTACCACGAGGATTTGAGGTTTGAAGTTGAGCCCTTGCTGAGAGATGCGAAGGAGGAGTTCTTGCTCCAGGGCTTTGACCTGGTCGAGGATGTAGACCACCTGTCCGCCGGTATCGGGCAGGCCGAGAACGTTGGCCTGCCCGAAGTAACCGTGCGGGGAGAAGATGACGACGTTGAAGACGGTGGGCAGCCTGCTGAAGAATCTCTCCATGTTGGTGGGATCTGGCGCCTGAAGCACTTCCGAGAGAGACCGCATCGTGTCCTTGGCTCGCTCTGCCGTGTCTCCCCATCCCTTCTCGAACCCCCACTCCTTGAAGCTGCATGCAAACACATTGTTTTGCTTTTTTTTTATTGGGAGAAGCGATATATATATATGTAGTTGTACGTGAGATGAAAAGAGGTGTACCTGAGGTCGAATTTTTCATAAGGAGTTTGAGGAGGGATTCCCGAGAGGTAGACTTGAGCAACGATGAGTGCCATCTGCAGCTTTGATGTTGTGCTCAGTGTCTCATTGATCATCAGATTCTGCACTCGATCGATCGCCACCAATATAATTAACCACCAAGAAATTAAGTTGTCATCTTTCTTTTAGGTTTAGATAACAATTTAACAACTAGCTAGCTAGGGAGACTAATATATGGTACACATACGCTCTAGATAATCTGTCCGTTCAATATGCTATGATGAGGTCCGATCAAATCTCAATGGTCAATTGTAGTTTTCTCTTAAATTGAACTTTGGGTTTGAGTTTAGTGAATCGGAACCTAGCGTACGGTGTGTTTATCGATTAGAAGTTAGAGTATAATATTATACTCTAAAATCGGATTAATCTATGCTCTAGATAAATATATCTCAGTAGAAATAACTCGAGCATATATATACAAAGTCATATATATATATATATATATATATATATATATATATATATATATATATATAGTATTCTTGTTACTTACATCTCCATGGTGATTGAGTGAGAGCAAATAGTCCACCAGGGGTTGCGCCTTCTCTGGTTCCCCACTCAGTTTGGAAGTAATGAACTTGGAGACAAAGTTAGTTCCATTACCAATGGAAGAAGAAAGTGTCAAGTGAGGCATGTCGGGTTCAAAAGCTCCAAAGTCCAGTTCCAGCGCCTCCTCATCCTTTGACCTAGGCAACAATGCAAGGAGAAATGAGATCCCTTTCATTCATTTTTTCTAGCTAAAAGACTGATCGTTCATTTCCAAAATAAATGAGATCCCTTCGTCGTCTTATATTATAGTACATATTGGCTGATCGCTTGCGCTTTGCGGCGAGTTGAAAGTAATCTTGTAGTTGTGTTGTACCAAAATGTAATTTATAAGACAATTGCAAAAGAAAAATTAACTACAAGTAGGAGAACTCCGTACTCCGTAGCAATTTACACTCTAACCAGTGAGACTATAGATGAGAGGAGGACGATCTACATACTATTGATGATGATGTATTTGTTTGATTTTGAGCTTTACAACTGGAAAAACAAAGATTGTCGAGGGATGCGAGTACACAAAATCAATTTCTCATAATCAGGATTTATGTTATTTCTCAAATTGAGAAGCACGCCATAAACATGAAAATAAAAACATAAAGATTTTTTTTTCTGTCCAAGGAAGAGGACGAAGTGCATCGGGAAAAGATTAATTTTTCTGTGGAATTAATCACTCTACGTTCAGGATTTATCATGTTCTTAAATGAAGAGGGTATTACGAAGACCCTAAAATAACAAGATGAAATGAATATTTTCTTGTTTGAACACATGGTTAAACCGCTTGGAAGAAAATCACCCATTGTAGCCACAGAGATGAAACATTATGGATCAATCTTGGTTCTGAAATCAAGAGTGCATCCGGAAATACATTTGATATCGAAATAAGTATAAGCGTCAAATACTTGCTTAGGGAACCGTTCTTTGTAATTTGTATTTATGTATAGATACGTTGATTTCTAGCAGTAAAAACTAGTGACAATTTCCACCGTACGCTTCCATTTCAATTTTCACCGTCCACGTCCATCTCAATGGTCGGCATAATTGCTAATTCTATCTTTCTTGTGGGATTATAAAATAAATTATTACATTTATGCTAGCCGTTGAGATAGACGCGTACGATAGAGATTGCTTGATATCCAACATACATCAGGTTTTACCTGGTGTACGATAGAATCATCCATATATATATATATATATACTAGATATGATTCATGAATATACGTACCAGTTGTGGTCGTAGATTAATTCCTTGTACTTGAGGTAGTCGGTGGAAGTAATGGGTTCAACGGACAGATCCTGAGAGTTGACCTTGACGAACTCCCAGAAGCCGGGGCTGGGCCTAATAGCAAATGCCACGTAAGGTGGGTTCACAACAGCTTCCTGCATGCAGGCCGGCCGGGCAACCAGCAGCAAGTGTCAGAATGGAATGGTATCGATATCCAGCTAGCTAGCGTACATATAGAAATAGAACAAAGTTAACGTTTTCATGGCGAGGAAATTATTAAATTGGACCGCGCAGACCTGAGTGGAGAGCCAGATGTCGCCAAGGAGGCCCTGGAAGAGGGTGGCGCGCTCGGCCGTGTCGCCGATGACGGTGTCCATCTCGTCGAGGAGGTGCTGCAGCTTCATGATTCGCCTGCCTTTCTCAACGTACTTGGTGAAGCACTTCTTCATGTGATACCTGCTCTGCCTCAGGGCCTCTGGCATGTTGTCTGCCATGGAATCGGATCTCTTCAAGCTCGCCATTTTCTGATCAGATGCGATTTCTTTTTGGGTTTTGGGTGATGCGGCCAAGGGGGCTCTCAATTTATATATTAATGTTATGCTTATTTTTTTATGAGCTAGGATCGGAGCTGGGAAACATTAAGAGGGAGGGACAAGTAAGGAACATTAGATAGTTCATAGTTGTGGGGTTTCCTCCAAACCCTGCCTGCGTCCGAATCATTCTTTGCTTCCGTTTTGACAGGAAGCACGAGAGATGCCGGATCCGCGCGCTCCTGCATTGTTGCAAAACCATCCGATCCCTAGTGTGTCAAGGGAACAAGTTTTAGGAAAATAAAAGCAAGATTCCTACCAAGCGCTAGCTAGCCGTGATCAAGTCTAACATATTCTTTGAGTTTTGGACTAATAAAGAATTTTCTTCTTTCTAACAAGTGAATCTTTACATGTTGATGTGACTTGAATCGGACTATCAGCCGCTACGATTGGTAATCGGGGGTCTCGCTGTAAATACTTCTCATACTCCTCTGTAATCTGTAATCTCCTTGATATAGTGAAACTGGCTCTCTCTCGCCCGTGGACGTAGCTAACACACATCGTGTTAGTGAACCACGTAAATCGTGTGTCTGTGTTTTACGATTCTCGCTTTCGAATTCTTGCTTTATCGATTCCGGCGATTTCCCGATCCGTAGCAGCGCGTTTAAAACAAGTGGTATCAGAGCCGCGGCTAGAAATCAGGCTAGGGTTTTTTTCGATTCAGAAGAATGACGTCGGTGAACATGAAGATCGAAAAGTTCACGAGGAAGAACAGCTTCGCTATATGGCATATCAAGATGCAGGCTTTATTAAAACAGCAAGGGCTGTGGAGGCCGCTGTCTGCGAAACAGAAGAAGTCAGCGGTCGATGACGATGAGTGGAATACCCTGGAGGAGAAGGCCCACTCGACCATCATGCTATCGTTGTCTGATGACGTCATCATTGAAGTCGATGCTGAGAAGACTACCGCGGGCTTGTGGTTAAAGTTGGAGAGTCTGTATATGACGAAGTCCTTAACCAACAAGCTGCATCTCAAGCAACGGTTGTTCAGCTTGAGGATGCAAGAAGGTACGCCTTTGAGGGAACATCTCGAACAGTTTAACTCTATTTTGTTGGATCTGCGTAATATAGATGTTCAAGTTGATGACGAGGATGTTGCCCTAATCCTACTGGTTTCTTTGCCGAGTTCATATGAGAATTTTGTTGATTCTTTTATTGCTGGTAAAGAAAGCGTGTCGTTGGAAGATGTCAGGTCTGCTCTTCATACGAGAGAGATCAGACATAAGGCGTCCAGATTGGTTACAGGTGGTGAGGCATCGGGTTTGGCTGTTACAGGTGGAAAGGGAAAGAAGAAATCTGGTAAAGGGAATTCGAACAAGAATTCCAAGGGTCCCGGTCCACAGCCAGGTGATGCTTGTCACAACTGTAAGGAAGTGGGGCATTGGAAGTACAACTGTCCCAAGAGAAGAGGGCAACAGAAGAAACAAGGTTCAGTTGTCGTGGCAGAAGTGGACAACAGTTCTGAAGACGATCTCGCCTTGGCTGTAGATGAAAAGGCACATCGTGGGGATGTGTGGTTTCTAGATACCGCAGCCTCATACCATATGTCTCCGAACAGGGATTGCTTCACAACCTACGAGCAGATAGATGGTGGTAACATGGTCATGGCTAATGCAGCTGTCTGCAAGGTTGTTGGAATCGGGTCCATAAAGGTTCGGACACATGATGGTTCGTTCTGTACCGTGAATGATGTCAGGAATGTTCCACGAATGACAAAGAACCTGATCTCCTTGAGTCTACTCGATAGCAAGGTTTTCAGTTTCAAAGGAAAAGGTGTATTTGTGTATGTCTGCAAAGGTTCAAGAAAGGTGCTGAAGGGCGTGAAGCGTGGGACCTTGTATGCATTACAAGGGTCTGTGTTGTCTGGTTCTGCTGCAGTTGCATCGTCTCAAGTTCATCAGGAAGATATGACCACTCTCTGGCACATGAGATTGGGGCATATGAGTGAACGGGGGATGCAAGTTCTGTCGAAGAGGGATCTTCTTTGCGGGCACAAGGTGCAGAATTTGGAATTCTGCGAGCATTGTATGTTTGGGAAGCTACATCGCAGCAAGTTTCCCAAGAAGGGTATCCACCGGACGAAGGGGATACTAGATTACCTCCACTCCGACTGTTGGGGTCCTTCATGAGTTGAATCCATTGGAGACAGCATGTATTTTCTGTCTATTATTGATGATTATTCGAGATTTACTTGGATTATCATGATGAAGCAGAAAAGTGAGGCTTTCACGAAGTTCAAGCAGTGGAAGACATTGGTGGAGAATCAGACCGGGAAGAAGATCAAGAAGTTGCGAACGGACAATGGTCTGGAGTTCTGTAATTCTGAGTTCAACGAATTCTGCAAGGATGAAGGGATTGCCCGTCATCGGACTATGAGAGATACACCCCAGCAGAATGGCGTTGCAGAAAGGATGAACCAGACGTTGTTGGAGAGAGCAGGGTGCATGCTCTCTAATGCTGGACTAGAGAGAAGATTCTGGGCAGAAGCAGTGAACATGGCGTGCTTCCTGATCAACCTTGGACCTCACACAGGTATTGAGTTGAAGACTCCTTATGAGATGGGGTATGGTAAGCCTGCTGATTACTCCTCACTGAAATTTTTTGGGTGTCCTGTTTATTATCATGTGGATGAGGGTAAACTGAACCCAAGGGCAAAGAAGGGTGTATTTGTGGGTTACGGAGATGGAGTTAAGGGATTTGGAGTCTGGTCACCTTCTGAGCATCGAGTTATGCTCAGTAGAAATGTGATATTTGATGAGAAGTCTATGTTTAACCCCATGTTGAAGGTTACTGTTGTTGAAGGTAGCAGGAATGTTGATAAACAGGTGGAGCTACAAACTCTCAAAGAGAGTGAGTTTGAGCACCAAGGTGGAGAAGATCAACATGATGAGCATGTTTCTACTGAGCCAGAAACTTCAGAGTCCAGTGCATGAGCTCAATAGTCTATTGCTTCCGGTAGACCGAAGAGAGCGACTGCAGGAGTACCTCCACAGAGGTATGGTTTCGAGGACATGGTGGCGTATTCATTTGAGGTTGATGAAGAAGTGGATGCAGGAGAGCCACAGTCCTATAGAGAAGCCGTTTCGGGTGGCGAAGCTGATCAGTGGCTTGCCGCAATGGGAGATGAGATGGAATCCCATGACAGGAATCAGACTTGGGAGCTAGTCAAACGACCACAGGAAAGGAAGATTGTTACAAACAAGTGGATCTACAAGAAGAAGGAAGGAATCACTTCTAAAGAGGGCATGAAATTTAAAACTCGGGTGGTTGCACGAGGCTTCTCGCAGAGGGAAGGAGTTGACTACAATGAGATTTTCTCACCAGTGGTCAGACATACTTCAATCAGAGTGCTACTAGCAATAGTGGCACATTATGACTTGGAGCTCGAGCAGCTAGACGTGAAGACAGCTTTCCTACATGGAGAGTTGGAGGAAGAAATTTACATGACTCAGCTAGAAGGATTCGTGGTTCCGGGAAAAGAATACTATGTTTGTAAGCTGAAGAAGTCCTTGTATGGACTTAAGCAGTCTCCGAGGCAGTGGTACAAGAGATTTGACAATTACATGCTTGAGCTAGGCTACAGCAGAAGTCCATATGATTGTTGTGTGTATCACAACAAGGTGGAGGATGGTTCGATGATCTATCTAGTTCTGTATGTGGATGATATGCTCATAGCTGCGAGGTCAAAGTATGATATCCAGAAGTTAAAGGGGCTTCTCGGTGCTGAGTTTGAGATGAAGGATTTGGGAGCTGCTCAGAAGATCTTGGGTATGGAGATTTACAGGGACAGGTCGAAGAAGAAGATTTTCTTGTCACAGAAGAGCTACATCCATAAGATACTGTCGAGGTTTGGCATGTCTTCATCAAAGCCCTTAAATACTCCCAGTGCTTCAAATGTTCATCTATCCTCAGCTTATGCACCTCAGTCAGAGGCTGAGAAGGAGTACATGTCGAGAGTCCCATATGCTAGTGCAGTAGGTAGCTTGATTTACGCTATGGTATGCACTAGACCTGATCTTGCACATGCTGTTAGTGTTGTCAGCAGGTTTATGATACAACCTGGGAAGGAGCATTGGCAGGCTGTGAAGAGGATCTTCCGGTACCTTAAGGGTACACCTGATGTGGGGATTAGCTTCGGAAGTGATACAGAGTGCTTGGTGTCTGGGTATTCTGACTCGGACTATGCTGGAGATGTTGACACGAGGAGATCGATGACCGATTATGTATTCACTCTTGGGAGTTCTATAGTGAGCTGGAAGGCAACTTTGTAGTCGGCGGTGACATTGTCTACTACTGAGGCAGAGTATATGGCGTTGACAGAAGCTGCTAAGGAAGGAATATGGTTGAAGGGACTGGTTGGTGATCTGAGTCTACATCATGATCAGGCAGTGGTGTATTGCGACAGTTTGAGTGCAATATGCTTGGCCAAGGATCAAGTCCACCATGAGAGGACTAAGCACATCGATGTGAGGTATCATTTCTTGAGGACAGAGAAGAGGATTAAGGTGAAGAAGGTTGGCACCGCGGATAATCCTGCTGATATGTTCACGAAGCCGGTTTCACATGGCAAGTTCCAACACTGCTTGGACTTGCTGAATGTCTTGAGTGGGTGACTCCGCCCTGCGGGGCATTGATGGCGGGAGAGAGAGAGAAGGAGCAGAGTACATCAGAGATTTCAGAGGAAGAGGATTCAAGTCAAGGTGGAGATTTGTTGATGTGACTTGAATCGGACTATCAGCCGCTACGACTGGTAATCGGGACCGTTTCCTTTGGCAGATTGGATTAAGTTTAGACCCACATGGAGAAGTACTATAAATACTTCTCATACTCCTCTGTAATCTGTAATCTCCTTGATATAGTGAAATTGGCTCTCTCTCGCCCGTGGATGTAGCTAACACATATCGTGTTAGTTAACCACGTAAATCGTGTGTCTGTGTTTTTCGATTCTTGCTTTTGTATTCTTGCTTTATCGATTCCGGCGATTTCCCGATCCGTAGCAGCGTGTTTATAACATTACAGTTAATAATAACGGCCACAATACACTCAAAATTGGAGATGCATCCTAGCATGCATGTATGCATGCATTTTTATTTATTTTCGTAATTGAAACAATATTGATGCAAAACGGGGGTTTTCTAAACACTACAACAAAATTTAGGTTTCTCAACCAAAATATGTACAACCAAACTAAATTTGGTTGGAGGAAGGTTAGTATTCACAACTAATTAAATTTTGGTATGTAAAATATTAACTTTCCTATTAAAATTAAAGTAACAATAACCAAATAAAAATTGAGAAGATTAAATAATTTAGTAGCAAAATTATTTATATTTTTTTCCACCAAATAATTTCTTGGATTCTAAACTACACTCCCAAGTCCCAATTAATAAAAGCCAAGCATAACCAACGATCGAGTATAGTGTAGTTGAAGCAAGTAATAGAATAATAGAACTCTACGATCTCTAGATGTACCGTTACTTCAACTTCATTTTGTTATCTAGCCACCCGAAATTTAGGAGTAAAGAAACTAAACTTACTACATTAAAATCTAACAAGTACATTAATTGGTGTCTAATGCATGATTTTCTCGTGAAGAATTTTTGTAACAATTGTCAAACATTGGTTCATCAATGACAACTAGCAATTGGGCCCGGCCAGTTGGCCGGTGGAGTTTTCCCTTAGCATTCTAGCTCACCATTATTTACTTGGTGTAAGTTGAGTACTTTAAGCTCATATGGTGACCCAACTGTAAGTAATAATATTTGTGTGATACAAAAAGTAAATACCTATATAAAAAAATACAATGACTAAATAATATATTTCATATATTTAATAATGGCATAAGTCTATATGTGAGTTTTTATTAAAAGGGAATATTATCAGCTACCATGAGTAATGAAATTATCTTTTATTAACAAGTAACAATCCTGCATCCAATTGTTGTATTTAAAACAAATCATGATCTATTTATCTTACTAACTCATTATAGTTAATTGAATCCTAGAAAATACAGGAAATACAAAGTCATTATGTTAAAGATACCTACCGAGCATTACCAAAAAAAAAATAGATTACCTGCCGAGCTAGTTGACAAAATAAAGCCAATATTCTTCGATTGCCTATGCAACCAAATCAAGACCTAAAAACCTTGAAAGCATTGTCATCCACTGTGGAAAAATGAAAGACTAAACACTCCTAATTCTCATACCCGATTCTCTGAAATCATTGAACTAAATCCAATCAAAGATGATTAGTACCAAAACTGAAATTCAAACTCACATGACTTGTAACCGAATGAGAGCAAACCATTTAACTAAGACCCAAAGAAAATATGGTCATGAAGCCCATTGATCTAGGAAGAAAAAACAGACTGTCACAACTCACATATGCTATCAAAATCTTTTAAATCTAGCTTCATATTTGGCTTCATCCCATATAATCTTGAGTTAATTTTGATTGTATTTGCCCCCCCCCCCCACATCTTGAGGTATTTGGAGAGTGCTCAAGCGTGTGATCTTCATTCCGGGACACAACCTGACAATATGGAAGCCATCATCGAAAGTTGGTCAGTTAAAGCACAATCATACTTGGATTTCTAAGTTCTTTCTTCATACTTTCTACTGGAGTATGTGCTGGAAAGAAATAACAGAGCATTTTAGAATATTTGCAAACCCAATTTCTCACTGCTTGGAGGATTGGACAAACTGTGATTGATTGGATCTTACCCCAACTAAAAAGTGGACGTCAGGACTTGGCTTTGGCTTTGGCTCATTAACCTGCAAGGCTGCAACACAACATTTTGAGTATGGATTCATTGCGAATTGAAAATCAGCCTGCTGCTGCCGCTATCCTACTTCATGTAATCTTCCTCCTCCTCCTGCTACTGTTCTTCGTTTTTCGTTCCCATCTTGGTGAAGGTCACTCACCCCGCTTCCCTTTGTAATCTTTTTTGGTCTCGCTCGTACTTGTTCCATCTCATAGTTTTATGTGTATCCCCCTCTGTGTACTTCTTCCCTTTGTGCCCTACACAGCCTATGAATTGCATGTTGGCCTCTTGCTTCTTGACTGCAGATTTTGTCTCTTATATTGCTTCACTTCCATTGAAAAACAATATTACTGCTGCCGATTTCTGGCAAACAAATAAATGACTAATAGCAAGAGGAAGATAGATATAAGGGAAACAACGATAGGACAATAACGGAATGAATCAGCTAACTCGCTGAGGCTAACTAATGATTTACGCCAAGGCTAACTGCTGCATTATGAAATCATTATTGGACCAAATCCCACATGAAACGAATTGAACAGACATGAACTGGATTGCATGTCCACTGGGAAAGAAAACATAGACGAAATAAAAAACGGGAGGAGAAATCCCATGTCCAGGCTCCGCAAAAGACCATAGCAACATATCAAGGGGAACTTACAAAGACAGGCAGATTGGTCCGATTTCACGGCTGTGGTGAGACGCTGCAGAGGGCGCCGTGAAGGGGTAAAGATGGGATTGGGATTGAATAGGAATAGATTGAAGGTGGAAAGAGTGAGGGGGAGTCGAAGAACTTTTTCACCTAGAAACGTCTTTGGAGACGAAACAAAGGGATCGTCTGAGTTAGTCGACGGTCGTTGGATAGTTGTAGAGGCATGTAAGATTGCTTCGATAATGCGGCAATGAGGTTCGGTGGGCAGTCGCACTCGTAACTTGTCGACCCTGCCATGCGAGATAGACGGGCAAGAGCGAGAAAGAGGCGGTGGGAATTCTTCAGAGAGAGAGAGAGGGAGAGCGACAACAATTGATTCCCAGAGGTTTTGGGAGACACAAACAGACGGCGAGACAGAGTGAGAGGAGGGTGAGTTCTCCTAGAGCGCTCGGCGAGAAACATCGATGAAGTAGAGAGAGCAAACGGAGATTCCAGAATCTGAATCATGTCAACCCACGGATGGTTGGAGCTGTAATGGGCAGGGGACAGGGTGAAATTTGAGGGTGGAGTAAAAGAACTGAGGATTGAGGAATTGGCAAGGGTTCGTTTGGGAGATAGCAACGCTGAGATTTCCGGGAGGAGATGGAAGACAACCCCTGAAGAAGAAAGCAATTTGTGAAGTTACCGGAAAGTCCTTCCGCACTATGCGGTTTATTGGGCAACGGCTGGCGTGGCAAATTGCTTTTTTTGACATCGCCTTATAGTAACTAGCCTTTTACCCGGCCTGTTGGCCGGAGAGATTTATTTTATAATTTATATGTTTAAATCATTTTGGATCTTCTAAATATTTTGTAACCGAGTTTGTAGTATGTTTATATTGAAATTTCCAATATTTAGCACACTCACTTGTGATGCGTCGGTTTTCGAATCATAAATTATGTCGCTGTCACGTCCCATTTAGAACTTATGTCAAAATTTGTCAACTAAAGCACTAATATTTAGTGTACGCCAACCTAAACCACACACACATATATATAGTTCAAGCTACCGTGCGCCAGGAGTACGTTATACTCTTGCGTTCATACTACCATACGACCATTGAGTTTTACTATTTAGACCCGAATTAACCGGATTTTTTTGGGGCATTATACTATCTAATAGGTGAACTCTAGTCCCTAATTCTGTAACCTCTAATTTATGCACATACTTCGTAATACCTATCTCCTATCGTATCTTGAGTTAAATAAAAAGTATAGTATATCTTGATATTACATATACATGTATATATACATGTGTGTGTGTATATTACACTCAAAATTATCTAGAGATCTCGCTTTTACCCCCATAACGCCAGAGAACCATTGGGGTTGTCTATTGTTCGATATATAATATATAAAAGGTAGGGATGACGGGATCATAGCTCGATATGGTTTTATTATGTTCATCTTATCAGAGGTTATGTTCTTTTTTTTTTTTTTTTGCTTCTTTTTCATTCTACTTTAGCACCTATGGTTGTGATCAGAGGTATTTAGGGATCATAGCTCGATATGGTTTTATTATGTGTGTGTGGGATGACGGGATCATAGCTCGATATGGTTTTATTATGTTCATCTTATCAGAGGTTATGTTCTTTTTTTTTTTTGCTTCTTTTTCATTCTACTTTAGCACCTATGGTTGTGATCAGAGGTATTTAGCCCTCGAAAGGGATTGGGATTTTAGGTCCTTTGGAAATCCAATACACATTCAGGATCCTCGAGTTTGGACAAACTCTCGACCAATGTTGTAAAAATTACCACTTTTTAGTGAGAAATTCTTAGTAAATATACTTCATTATTGGATTTATTCATCCATATTGAAACTTGACACACACTGTAGCCCTCATGATGACTAAATTCTCTAATCTCGACTCATTTCCATTTTGGATGTTTTTTTTTATCCAGACACTTAAATTTAGTATATTATACAATATGTATCCATTGTTAATTTTTGAAGTTTATACTAAACCTCAACCGGTGGTCATTGTTTATATGTTGACTTAGAATCTCAATCTAAGGCACTCACACACACACTATCGAGGATTTTTGGTCTTAATATGGTCGTTGAATGTGTAATTTTCAAAGATTTTATCGCTTATATATTAATAATTGATAAAGAGTGTCTCCAATACACACATATTTTAAGTGCATTTAAAATGTCTTATCATTTGAACAATATCAGTGTATTTCATTTGATTATTTGCAATAACTTATTATCTTATACAACATATATTAATTCGTTTTTCTCGAGTCTAGACGAACTGAAAACCAATTTTAAGAGTTGAGATTATTGGATAAAGATACTTGATTGCTTAATAAATATGTTTATCCCAATTGACGGTCTTACTAAAAATTGCCAACCTTTATTTGGTAAATGCCTATGTTAGTAGTTGATGAAACGTGATGTTTATCGTAGATTCTAAACAAAGATTTTTCTAACCTTCACATCTATTATTTTTCAAGGAATCTTGTGTCTCATCCTATGGTATGAAGTCAAAGTTCGTCAACAATCTTACTTAAGTCATTTTGAAAATTTTGATTTATAATCGTCGAAGATAACTCCAAGTCTGAAAGAAAATTTCTTAGCATACGACTTAGAACCTCAATAGAGCTTGCTCAATCGACATGATATAGAGGAAATATTATTAATGTGAACTTAGGTCACATTATCAAATTATTGCACATGCGATTCCTCTTCATTTGAGGAATTTAAGGTAGAACATGATCTGAATGAATAAGAATTTTTTTTAAATAAATAACTATAACTACTCGATCAATATTGTACTCTGACATTTTGCTAAATAATATTGTTTTATTTATATATATATATATATATTGTACGAATAATAGAGTGTTTCATTGCAACAAAATATAAAGTAATTTATTTTATTTTTCAAAGGTAATTGAATGACAAATGTTTATTTTCTCTCTTTTCATATATATTTTGGTTTAATCGATTAAAATATAAGTGTTTATGTGTATGTTTGTTGATTTTTTCATCAAAATGTAACTTATCATTGAATTTTAGTAAAAATGAGTAGAAAATTTATTTCATAAGGTTTAATCAGATATTTTTTATTTAAATAAATGTGATATATGTCACTCTCTTTTTTCTTATTTATATTTTGTTTATTTAAAAAAAATTATTATTTATGTTTGTTTGGTTAAGTTTATCAACATGTAACTTATTATTAAAGACAAAAAAGAATAAATGGATAAATAAAAAAGAATAATTGGATAAAAGAAATGAAAATATTAAAGAAGAGAGAGGTAGCTCCATAAATACATTAATAACTAATTTTTTGTTTGTAAAAAAGTTGTCCAACTTGGCAAATTGTGGATCCTCCAAGTACTTATGTGGCAAGAATTTTTTTTTGAATTGCCATAATATATAGTATAGAAGATAGATAGATATAGATAGATAGATTTGTATATAGTATAGATATAGATAGATAGATTTGTAGATGGCTCATGGGCCAAGTGGAGCGATTATGTAAGAAGTCTGATTTGCCGCTTCTGCCTTTTCTATTTCGTGTACATTTACTCATACTCATCTTTTTCTTCTACATTTACTCATCGAAGGTATAACAAACATGCACATTTAGCGACTGAAAATGTCTTTTCATAGACTGCTCAACTATTTTCATCGACTGTTCAACTATTTATCGACTACTGTATTAGGTTGTATGGTGTGATGTGACCATCTATTTTGATCCTCTATCTATTGGGAAAGAAATCAACCACTTGTTTCTCACAAGTGACCCACAAAATTGCATAATCCCCCCAAATTCAAGTTATGATTTACTTACTTTTTATTATTACCAATCTCGTTCGTAGACAATAATACTCGGATAAGAGACGAATATAACTATACTGGTATGGATGAGACTATCAAGTATCATGACATGCCTGGCAAATCAAACACTATAGCCCACCAAATACAACAAACAAAAACCTTTTCCTTCAATCCCTTTAGGTGTTTTGATAAATCTAATTACTGGTTGTTCAAAACGCTGCAACGGAGGGACATGTAACATGCTCCAATCCAACCACACCACAACAAGACTGCCTCGACCAGCAGAAAAAAGAGACCTCCCCGCCTACAGATCTGCAGGGCCTTTGATGTCCTGCACACAGAAATTGTACTGTTAGGCGTTACTGAAACCCGCCATGCCTCTTCCAGCAGAAAAAGAGACCTCCCCGTCTAATCAGTAATCACAACCATCATACATTTTTACATATTAAAACCAAAAAACTTGCATGAACCGGGCGGTTCATTTCATCTGTACCTTGTTCTCAATTACTGAACCATCGGGGATTTCCAGCTTCTCCCCAGCTGTTATGTTTACCTTCCCCTGCAAAAGAGGTAGGCAACAATTGAAAACAACGATTAGGCAAAAGTCCAGTAACCATGTCGCTTAATACTTGCAAACCCACTTTCACCTAACATAAGCACACCCATCAACATTGGATTTGCGTTACGTATAACGACAGACCGAGTGTAAGAAAGTGAGACGATACCTTGAGCTTAATGCCAACACCAAACCATACATTGCCAGCAACCTTGAGGCTATCAAGATCAATAATGCTGGGAATGGACTTGAATCGGCTCAAGAAATCGCCAACCTGACAGAGAAGCACCAGGAAACTTTAGTCCCTAGCACCCACAACTGAATAGTTAAATCTTGAAATGTGATGATTAGTGTATACACTAACCTTCTTGAACTCTGGGCCAAGTTCAATAGAGGGATTCTGAGGATTCTTTCTGGCCTCGTTGCGAATGACATATCCATCAACCACAGTGTAAAGGTCCGACTTCATAAGACCACAAATTCAAACCGTCAGACAAGCAAGCATCAACCCAATGCTTAGCCAAAATTCTAAGAATTCATTGAAAGGAAACCAACCTGGACAAGAAGCAAATCTGAAGTTGCCTTGACAGGTAGGAACCGTGAGCGAGGCACATTAATGCCAATTGCCTTGTCAAAAAACTGTTCCCAAGAGACGAACGATTAACAAAAGAAAGCCAATCTCTACTATCAAAAGACCACTCACGATAGTCCTATGATAATTAATTAGTACCTTGATTGCTGCACCAGCTGCGGTTTCTAGCTGAAGAACTTTGATACCATCAACTTCCTGAAGAAGAACCATGTAATGTCAGCAGCAACCATTTCACACTAGACCAGGATAGCACTAAAGAAAGATGTTCAGTAAGGGGCGGAAAAGAGTATAAAAGGCAGGAAAAGAATGTACCTTGGGGTTCGGAATTATCTCCATTTTCAGAGCATCAGCTTCCACGAGCCTCTTGATAGCATTCAAATTTACCCACCTGATAAAGAATAATACACTTTATACTTTTCACTGTTGAAAAAATCAATATGAAATGTGACGGTACTAGACTGACTTACAAGTTGTTTGTGTTGAAAATTTTGAACTTTTCAATTGACTTGAATTCACCAACCTGTTTTAAGTAATAAAAGTCAACAACATCTAAAAGTAGCAACATTCCAGAGACACTCTGCTCCCAATTCCAGATAGCTTCTAGGCAAGTAGACCAACTAGTATGGAATCGGATACAAAAAAAAAAAAAGAAATAGGCCGCCCAAAAAAGTGATCCTTAAACATCATGGGTAATATTCATTCCACTTCACAGAAAAGCCAGAGTGCCCTCCATCACAAGGGTAAAAAAACACGACAAAACGAACTATAGATGCATAACTTACATGCTCATCAGGGACCTGTGCTATTTCCAGAAGCTGCACCGCATAAATGGAAATTATTAGCATCAAATTTAAGATCATAAGATATAAAATAGATACTAGCACCATGAAGTTATGTGAGAGATCATACTCAAAACAGCCAACAAAAATGTCATAAGCATACCACAGTAATTAATTTTCTTTTTAAGAAAAGGGTGTCGCTACAAGTGAGATAATTCTTTCCAATGGATGTAAGTGAAGGAGATGTTGATACCTGAACTTTCCCTTCATAAGAAATGAGGGTACCACCCTTAACATCAGCCAATGTCTTGGGTGTCACCTGCGCAACCAAATAAATATGAGAAAAAAGAGCCAAATTAAGCAGTACTGTAAATGAAATAAATGTAATAACTGACTAAGTTGCCAACCTCCATGCAGTATTCATTCTTGTTTCTTATCAAATGACTTAGAATCTCTGAAGTATGAGGTCAAGGAAGAATACATGAAAAAACTTCAACTGAAGGCAGTTACACCACTGAAACTTCATGGTAATGCCATAATGGACAATTAAAGGAAAATCTTAAAGTAACGTCTGTAGATGAACCCAGGATACTCAAATCGACGACAGCTCCAAGGTTGTCAGAGTTGGCAACAAACACATACTCTTTTCCCTGTTCAAAGAAGTATGATATAAGCACAAAATGGTACTAGTCAATTGAAAATTTAATAGCTTTACTTGCCACAAAAACCAACCTGAGACAACAAAGCATCAAGCTTGCCACTGTTCTTCAGGGATGGGAAAACATCACCATGACCAGGAGGGTACCTTCACAAGCAGAGGGGATCATTAACTCACACACCGAATACGAATAGAAAATTTGAGCATGAAAGCCAAAGAGGAAGTATAACACCCAACACTAGATAGATGAGTTTTCTTATTAAAAAAAAAAAAAAAAGCTTAGAACCATCATAAATTTCAATCACAAAACTACAGGTTGCCAAACCATTGAAAGGTGCATCCAATATTTATATCCCTGTGTTTTGGGGCTTTGTACTTACACAACTCCCTAGAATATAGGGTCCTTGAATGTTATGAGATTCCTATTACGAACAAATGAGTGTTAAGAACAATCAACACGGTTAAGGCACACCCCAGATGAAGTCATAAGTTTGGCAGCAACATGAAAGATATAAGAAAGATTTTATAGTTAGATGGACGTCCGAATACCGAAATTTGTTGCTCCTTAACAATCGCTTCATCACATTATCATTAAAAAAGTGGTTAAATAAGTTAGACAGGTAATCACTAGGTTGATCACTCATCAATAAGAAAATAGATGTAGGAAGCTGCCATGGTTTAAAAAAAAAAAATTCAAGAATTACAACAGATTGACTTGAACCATTCTTTATTATCAACAAAAAATATGCAACGACAAGTTTGAAGATAAAGAATACACAGGTATTGTAGCATGCAAAAGTTTCTAACCAAATATCAACTATCACCGCCTACAGTTAGATTGCATATTTTCTTGATGGACGATTCTTTATCCACATTGGGTTTATTCCCACAAAATCCAGCAAGCAGGATTCTGAACCAATATGCCAGGGCATTCTAAAAAAACAAAAATAATCAATGAGCAATGTGACAATCTTACCATCCATCCTTGCCTGCGTGCCCCTTGCTTGGTAATGGCAAGTAATCCTCAACAACCAAACGGGGGTACTGACTCTGTCAACCAAACGCAAAAGAGCCAACATTTGTTTTAGGCTGTACTCATAGTTCAGGGAAACAAAATGAGAGACAAATAAAGAACTTTAGGCAGAGCCTTTACGAACCTGATTAAATGTGTGGATCTCAATATTTGAATTTGTGTACTTCTCCACAATCTGGGTTAACCAAAATTGTCTGATTAGATTGACATCGATATAAATATCACAGCTTACCAAATGGATAGAGGAAAGGAAGGTGGGGGAAAGCAGAGGGCACCTTCAATGTATCATCGTGAGTGTTGAATGAGTTCATCAAAAGCAGAGGGACCTTGCATCCGTATTTGTTATTGAGATTCTACAACAATTCAATAGCACCTTTTAGGAAAACAATGGAAGAAGAATCAAAGTAGGCCATAAAAAAGACAAGCAAGTGACCTCAATCTGCATGACAATGAGGTCAAGGAACGTCAATCCATTGCGGACTTCAATCACAGATCTGCAGAGATAGGATCACAAATTATGGTCATTGTTAATCCTAACAGATCAAACATTCGCAGCATAAGGAGCCGTAAATTTCATACTTAGGCCCCGTGCAGCCCATTGTTGTCCCCAAACCACCATTGAGCTTCAGCACCACTAGTTTGTCCAGTAGGCTTTTGGTTTCCGCCGGATCTAACAACGAAGTCACATTATATTACTTCAAACTTTTATCACAGATAGATGGATCATGAATCCAATCTCCAAAAGTAAGATATGAGTGAAGGAAACTAGATGATGATTACCATCAGAGAGAGGAGTCAAGGTGTCATAAGGAACCACTATCTCATCGGTAGGTGTCTGAATCTTGCTCCATTCAACATGCTCAGCTTCGCCGCTGTTTCAAATCCTCGAATATGCGACGATTAGAAAGCTAATAGAATGAACTCAAACCCTGAATCGCAATTCTCGTGCTATACATATATAACAATCAATCGAGTGGCAGAAAATCTTCCATGCAGCAAAGATCCAGATAGATAAGGTTGATGCATTTCGAGATTGTCGCACAGTAAGCGTGCGTGGAGATGAGAAATAATCAAGAAACGGAAGAACAATCAATACCTGAGATAGCGAGAGACGAGATTGATGAAGCCATTCTTCTCACTCTCACTGCAGCAGTTTCAGGAAAAAAAACGACGAAGAAACAAACAAATCCAAGTGAGATTCACAAAAACATAGATCTGAGAACGCTAGAAGCAGGTGCTTTCGTCACAATAGAGAATTTCTTCAAGAATTCAGAGATTCGGAACGGAAAATTCAAAAAGTAGAGTGCCTGATTTGATCGAGAGCGGCTACGGCGGGTTTCAGGGCGGAGAGCTTCTCGGTGGTAGCGGCCATTGCCGGAGTGGATGTGGACGAAAACTAGATCCGATCTCTCTGTATCGAGAAGAGGGAGGGAGGAAGGAAGATGCAAAGTGTGATTATGTTGTGGGAAAAATGTAAGGATGACAATTTATTTATATGATTTATATCTATATATATGTGTGCTTGTGCAGCAGAGAGAAGAAAGCGGGGGATGGAGAAGATAAATGGTTTTGTAAGAAAATGGGATGGGGATTCGACCAAACGATGCCGTTTGAGACTTGGGCAGAGACGGAAGCATGAAAAACACCCACGCAGAATTCTAGATGGGAAACGGTCCAGCTGTCAATCCCAGATGAGATTAGGACGCTAGGCGTGTAGAAGACTGTGGGAGCGGGAATATTACAACCGAATATGACGCCCTGCCAAATAAATTAAAATTAAAATTACAAAATAGCAGAAAGACAAGTTTTCCATAGCGGCACTATGCAGCATCAATGTGAGCTAATTAGGATAAAAGAGCTAATTAGGATAAAAGGTTACAAACTTATTTACTTTGTTCAAAACGGGTTACAAATTTTTAATTTTGTACATTTCAATAACATATATTTGGACTGATAACAAAAAGTATGGGATCGTTTTGAAGTTATGATTATAGATGAATGGTTCTTTGAATTCATGTATTCTGGAGAATCCATCGTTTTTTTGTTCCAAAACTTTATTCAATACATGCATTTGAAGTGGGCCCTCAAATCTCATATCACCCACAATTACTCATTTTAAGGGGTCGTTTGGAAGTTGTGATTTCAAATGGTGTATTGACCTAATTCATGTATTTGTGAGATTAAGTCGTTTTTTTTTTACTTATATAGAACTAGAATACATGCATTTACTTTTTGGAGGCTCCACCACAATCACTCAATATTGAGGGATTTACAATCTCTACTTTTTGCTGAGATTCACAATCACTCAAAACTAACTTTTTTACCTTTAGAACAAAAACACAATCTAAGGGGTTGTTTGGATGGATCTTTTGGATGGATCCATTGTATACAATTGTCTCAAAATGAGGCAATTGAACCTAATTAACTCATTTGGATGTCAAAAAGTTGGATGGAGCAATTGGGTTTGGGGAAATTTGCTTTGATCCATTATGAGTCATTTGTAATTACCTGGTGGTGGGGGAGGTATTTGAGATTGTCTCGTTATTAGCTTTTTTGTTCCCCTTTTGTCCCTGGCTTTTAATTGTAAACCCATAAGTGCCCTTCTTTATCTTCAACTGCTTTCCTCTCTCTTTGTTGTCATTTTTAACCTATCTATCGTATCTTGCTCCTTTGAAGGAAGAAGAAGCCAGCGACTGAAGGTCTACAGCGACAATCATCAATCGGTGAACTTTCAGCAGCTTCAGGATCGTTTCAAGGACGAGGTGCAGCGATTCTCCTTGTCAACGATTGATCCAGGTACAGTGATTATGGAAGACCCTTCTCCAATTTATTCTTGTTACAAATAAAAAACCCTCGTATTAACCCTAAAATTTTTGATGAACTACTTTGAATACTCTATTTGTCTAGCTACCTGGGGATTTAGATGCGGTCAGTGTGAATCTTTTGGTTCCTTCTCTCTTTCTCACAATCTGTAATTTGCGAACTCTACCCTTGTTCCTTCCCATTAAATGACAAAGTCCAACCTAATTGGGTGTTTCTAATTAATCCACCAATAAATCATAGTTTGTTTTCTGTCTGTTGGACCAGAATATTACTCCCTTTCTCTTTTCCCTTTCCATTAGCAAAGTGTCAAGTTAGTGTTTTTGATAGTACTTAAAGCAAAATGAACCTTTGAGATACATATATAATAAATTAATGGCTGAGATTTAATGGAGAGTTCAGGATCTCCATGGTTAATTTGTTTTGTTAAGTATTAACCCTCTTTGTGTGTATTGTTTTCCCATCTCTGTTTGGGTTTAACGTGTTGATTCTTGTTTTTCTGCTAATAATGGTCATGTTTTTTAAGAGACAAGTTGAAACAAGCTGTCTCTTTGATTATTTTTTCTTGTGTAATTAATTTTTAGTTTATGATAATGAATCTCCCTAATTTATCCACTAATTATGCATTTTAACCGTTTGAAAGGATGTCTCGACTATTTATACTTCTTGCTTTGCTTCTAATGCTCGTTATGGTCACTGTCTAGCCTGCTTACACTTCAGGCTGAACAGAACTGTTTCCTTCTTTTTGCTTCTATAACCGACATGGGTTTCTGGAATTGGTGTGTTGTACTTGTTTTATCCACTGATAATGTATTTTTTTAACTATTTTATAAAGGATGTCTCGACTATCAAGTTTAGCTCCAACCCGTAGACGCCAGGTGGTTGCAGCAATTTGCTCGTTCTCCAACCTTCTCATGATTTATGTTAGTTTAGGTATCAAACTAGCTGACTTAGTACAAAAACATTACCTGAATCCACGCCTTAGTAGGCAACCAGTGGACACCTACTTGCAGAGACACTATGATAGACAAAGGCACCTTAGGAATGCAACTAAAATGACTGATATTGATACTTTCGACCAAGTCAGGATGAATCGTAGCTTATTCAGAAAGTTTTGTGAACTTTTTGTTAGTGAAGGTGGGCTGAAAAGAACTAGGAATGTAGATATAGACGAGATGGTTTATATCTTTCTTCGAACTATTTCACAGAACGAGAAAAATAGAACCTTACGCCTGAATTTACGTCGTTCGGGAGAGACAATATCTCGAACAATTCACCGCGTACTGCGGGCTGTTATTAGGCTCAACAACTTACTTATGAAGAAGCCGCTTCCCATTCCCGACAATTGTACCAATAGTAGGTGGAAACATTTCAAGGTCAGCCCCTGATTTCTTTCTCCAATAAATTCCATCTTTTATTTTGTTTCTGTCAATCAACCCCTGAAAGTCTTGTTTCAATGTTGCGTTAGAAATGTCTTGGAGCTCTAGATGGAACTCATATTGATGTCCGACCATTAAAAGAGGATCGAACTAGGTATCGCGATAGGAAGGGTGATCTTTCCATTAATGTGTTGGGTGTTTGCACACCCAACTTGGAATTTATCTATTGTTTATCTGGATGGGAGGGGTCTGCCCATGACGGAAGAGTTTTGTGTGATGCCCTTACTAGGGAAAATGGTCTTACTGTGGCCGCAGGTAATACTATAGTTAAGTTTAACAGTTAGATACAAAATTACAGTCCTAAATGAACCTGTTAATAACATTTAAAATTGTTCATGTATTGAAGGTTGTTATTATTTATGTGATGCTGGGTACGCAAATAGCTCGGGATTTTCTAACAATTCAGATGACCTGAAGTGCTTCTATGAGCTGGAGAAGGAAGAGGACAGGTTGACCCTTGTTCTTAATCTACTCAAGGATGAATGAGGGTGTGTTTCCAATATGTATGTAGTTGTATAGTAAGTCCACTAGGTTGTAAGCTATTAGGTAGTTGTCCAGTTTGCAAAGAGGCCTTTCTTTTTGTCTATCTGTCATTGTGAAGTACACTCAATGACAGTCTTTGCAAATGTAGGACAACCTGTATTTTGTGAAGTTATATGGTTAGCTTACTAGGATCGTAAACTTCGATGGAGGTAAATCCATAATCAGGCTGTTTTTTTGTAAAGTTCGCATGATGTACCAAGCTGTACCAAGCTGTAGGATGAAGCTGTCTCATGTAAGTACCATATAGTAATTGCAAGACATCTTGTGAGAACTTGATTGTAAAGTGCACATTGGGAACCTCTGATCTATGATGAATGTAATGTTATATTGAAGCTTATACTTTTCCCTCTAACTACTTAGTTTCTGTCATATATAAATGGTCTTACAAACATTGTTTCTGCCATAAATGGTCATACAGACAATTCTTACCAACATTGTTTCTGCCATAAATGGTCATACAGACAATCCTGGACAATACAGGTTTTGGAAGTACAACATAACAACTACTGGAACAGTCAAAATACAAGTTACAGGATCACCTATACAAAAACCAGCTTCTCCAGCTTAGGTGACCATATCAAAGATCACAAGTCACACAATTGTCGCTAACCGAACTACCACAACTACACAAGATTGCCATAAACAAGTACTGATTTAGCTAATCACCACTCTACTGAGTTGTCTCTCCACTGCAAGCAATCTTTGTTTCACCACTTGAAGATCCTTTGTGGCGAAATCATTACACTGCTCACAAGCAAGAGCTGGAGCTGGTGGAGTGACAGCAACCAACTGAGCAAGCCGCTTATTCTCTTCTTCTAGTTCACAGACTCTGCTTTGCAAATTGACAATAAAATCCAGGAGCCTTTGTTCCCTGTTTTGCATAGCTCGCAAATCACACCAAGCAAAGAAGTCACACCCAACCTTACTCTGTAAAGAAATAAATCTAAATATTAAAATACGAAATATGAAACATATAAGAACTATTGATTTGAACACCCAAATGGCCAAGGAAAACTCCACATTCTCAAGCTCCTTGCGTTCAAGAAATTATATAACAACACTATATGAGTTGTAAACAGGTTACCTTTGAGTGGTAAAGAGAGCAAGACCAGAATTTGCGATTAGGGTTGTCGGAAGTTCTGGAAGTTCTCACTACAGCTTCCAATCCACACTCGTAGTATACCCCTTCGTCCGTCAAATCATCGATGAAGAAGCCGGCGGCCATTTCAGAAAAGATAGCCTCTTGCAGGACCTAGCGGCCAGCAAGGTGGAGATCGACAATGGAAAAGATAGCAGAAGCACTTCTATGGTTTCTTCGATCTCTTTTCTTCAATCTCCCACTTTAGGGATTGTTCTGTTTAGTGGAATGGGGGAGAGAGAGACAAAATGGGAATGATAATAGTTGGGGGGTTTTTTGGTGGAGATGGGCCACGACTAATGAGAAGAAAGGAATAAAATAATAAAAAAGAAGGGCAATTTGGTAGTTTCAATTTCTCTCCAAATAAGACAAAGAAGAATTGCCTACATTACAGAAACCTAACCAAACGAGGCAATCTCAGCAGAATATCTCAGGGTCAATATGAATCATTTCTCAAATGAGTCTTTTTGTCAAATTGACTCATTGGGTAATTGGCCCATCCAAACGACCCCTAAACCTCCAAACAAGATATTTGCCTAATACATCAATTGATTCAATACATCAAATGATAATACACTAATTGTCTCAATACATCAATTTGAAGAATCACAACTTCCAAACAAGCTCTAAATCTCAACAAAAAGGTGAGATTCTTCCTTTGAGATTGTTGGCTTTAATTTGTTTCACTTTTAGCTCATAAATTGATTTTTTCTTTTCTTTAAAAATTTTGAATGGTTACAACCAAACAAGACATTCTTTCAATCATCTAATTCTTACAATCTTTGTATTGACAATAGATGTATTCATCAAATACACATATTTGAAGAATCTCAACTTCCAAACGATCCCGTAATTTCGTCCATCTCCATCCAAAAAATCGTTAGTTATGTCCAGTCAGCCCGCCACATTACTTAAAATATTAATTAAAAAAATTAATGACCAAACCAATTGAACTGATAACCCAACAGAAATCCCTAATTATATACCCATGCACTCGACTTCGTGACCCTTCACCTGACTCGTGGTCGGTCGACGAATCAATTAGGGCTAATTCCACTAGGAAGTCCAAACTATTCAAAAAGTGTCATTTGTGTTCTAAATTATTCAATATGACAAATCTGGCACGAACTATTTTGCTAATGTTGACTGGCGTTGACTGTTAGTATTTAATAGAAAATATATTCAACATCTATGTGGTTTGTGCTAGATTTGTCATATTGAATAGTTTATAATACATATGTCACGAAACATATAGTTTGTGCCAGATTTGACCAATGTTCAAGAAGACGCTGGGCGCCACCTAGGTGAGGAGGCACCGCCCAGCGCCCAGGCCGATTAGTCGTTGCCTAGGCGAGATTAAACGTCGAAAAAAATATATGATAAATATGTAAGTTTAGAGTGCAAGATCAAACATAACATACATAAGTTCACTAATTTGCAGCCCCTGTCAAATGCCAATTCTTATTCTCTATATCATCTAAAGCCTAAAGATGAAAAGAAGCTCTCTGATCACTGGCGATGCTCTCTTCGCAATCCGAGGACAGGGGAGGAAACGATGCTCTCTTCACAATCCGAAGACGAGAACCCATTATTGTTGGAGTCGATTCCTCTTCTGGGTTCGTCTTCAATCGAAAGATAAAGAAGAGTTAGTACCTCCAATGCTACAGACCGACGGCGAGGACGAGTCACGGCTGGGCACTGGCGATGCTGGAGACCGACGGCGAGGATGAGTCACGACTGGGCACTGGCGATGGTGGAGACCGACGGCGAGGACGAGGCGCGATTGGCTATGATGGAGACCGACGGCGCGCGATTATGGAGACTGGCGGAGAGGACACTGCAGCCGGCGACGAAGCCCCCTGCTGGAGGCGGTCGACTGTTGGAGACGGCTGGAGCGGTCGACTGTTGGAGAGAAGGGAGAGAGGTGACGAAGGAGAGAGGCGGTCGACTGTGGGTGCTACTCAGCTGATCGAAGAACCCATTAGGGTTTTCCCCTATTCGGCCCATCCAAAATGCACAACATGGTCTTCTTCTTTTTTTTTATTTTTTCTGGGCGTCGCCTAGAGCTTGGAATCGCCGATCCAAGCTATTATTCGCCGCCTAGGCGTTCTTCAACGCGATTACGCGTTTATTGCGCCCAGCCACTTCGCCCAGGCTTCCTCTCCACGTTTCCTCCTCACCTAGCTACTAAACGCGCCTAGGCGAGCGCCTAGGCGAGTGTTCTTGAACACTGGATTTGACATATTGAATAGTTTAGAACACAAATGATACTTTTAGAATAATTTGGACTTCCTAGTGGAATTAGCCCAATCAATTACTACTCATGTCTTTTCTAACCCATTTTGGATGTGTTGTTTCAGGCATTCAACAATGAGTGAAATGATTGGTGGGTGGAGCACCAAGTTCTACGCCATTGACGACAGAGTTGGTGAGTTTGGAGGATTCGAGTTTCAAATTACAGAAGCTATCGGTCGAGCAGAGGAAGGAGAAGATTCATAGGTACATGAACAAGAGGAACAAGAGGAACTTCAGCAAGAAAATCAAGGTATGCCTATCCGACATCTGATTCCCATGCATCTCCTCTTTTTCCCCCTCTTTCCAATTCGGAAAAAACTAGCAACTTGATCATACTATTACATTGCAGTATACTTGTTAGAAGACGCTTGCAGACATCGCGCGCGAGTTAGGGGAAGGTTTGTGAAGTTGGGTGGGTTATATAGAATCGGGGTTTTCGGTTGGGTTATCAGTTCAATTGGTTTGATCGCTAATATTTTAATTAATATCTTAAGCGACATGGTGTGTTGACTGGACATAACTAACGGTTTTTTGGGGCAAATGTCAAGTTTGGTCCCTAGGTTTACTAAAATGTGTCATGTTTAGTCACTGAAAAAAATTAATATCAATTTTGATCACTCAAATTAGTAAAATGGTCCACGTTTAGTCACTCTCCGCTGACTTTATCTTATGTGGCAGTCAACCATAACAATTGACCGTTAAACGTCTAACGTGGCAATAAAAAATTAATTCTTTTAATATTTCCACATAATTAAAATAATAAACTAAAATAAATAAAACAAAAAATCCTTCCCCATCACGTTCTCCGGTGCTTCAAACATGCGATCAAACTACCAGATTGCTTCGGGTCGAGTTCGGAGCTCTCTTTGAATTTCCGGGTTTTCACCCTTCTCACCGCCAAAGAAGATTTTTTCTGGGTTTGAGAGTCAGATCCTGAACTCAAATTCGGAAGCGATGCGGAATACGCCAACAAAGACGATCATTAGATCTGGAATGGAAGCCCGAGAAAAGATGGCGAGCACCACCACCACCAGGGGCAAGAGGGTGTGTGGGAGAACCGCCGCCGAGTATAGCTCCGCCGCCGTCACCTCGTCCCCCGATTATGCTGCACTCATCGACTCTATTTCTAGCCAGACTCTATCCTTTCGACAGCTTAGAATCCACATCAGAAAGCTGGCACACTCCCTCCGGAACAAGCTCGGCGTGGAGGTTGGTGAGGAAGAAGCGGAAACGGAGTTTCCAGAAGCAGAGTTGAAGAAGAGCAGCGCGGCGGCGCTATCCTACTCATTGGGGAAGGGAGGGAAGAGCAAGCGGGTGCTACTGAGCCACGACAACTTCATCGTGACGGCGGCGATGGTGACGGCGGACCAGGAGACGAAGGAGGTTCGATGGTGACGGCTCTGCTTCCTGCCGATGCACCACATATTCGGGTTCGCGTCGGCGACCTACTCGCCGCTCCAGCGGGGAAACGCGGTAGTGTCGATGGTTGCGGATAAATCCACATCTTCCACATCAGAAAGAATTACTAGAGTTTGACCCTAAAGCCCCCCCCCCCCCCCCCCCCCCCGCCCCCGATTCCGCTAAGCTCCCGTCCCTTACAAACCTGAACCCGTCGAACCTCTATCCGGCTTCTGCCAAAAAATGGATGAAGAGGCTCTTCGTGTAGGTTTTTTTTGTGTTTTTATTTTTAATCGTAACAATTTGATTTTGTGATTTTTTTATCAAAACAATCTCTGATTTTATTACTTTTTTTATAGATGGGTGTCGAGATATACGATCCTCGATTGTATATCCATTATGGGCCAAGAGATATGAGACTCTTAACCAATCAAGAAGCTCATCGCTCCCGTGCTATTTGGGATAACAATCCGGTAATTTGATGATTTATTTGCTTTATTTTATTATTTTCTAAGGTTTTATTTTGCTTTATTTAAACTAACAAATTGATGTTTTTCCATTTTTTTCGAAGGAATCACTTATTCTCGTCGTTCATAAAGGGACCACAAACTTGCCCCCTTGGCATCCACGGTTGGCGCCCTATATAGAGAGGACCGGGTTGGATATGTTGCGCCATTTCATGCGGATCGAAATCGATAACGATCTGCTTACGGCAATGGCGGAGCAATGGCATCCCGAAACTCATACGTTCCACCTTCCGGAGGGGGAAATGACGATCATCCTCAAAGACGTGGCGATCCTCACCGGGCTGCCGATTTTTGGAGATGCCATCATTGGTTCCACTACCAAACCCGAAGGAGGTTGGGGGGCGCTCATTCTTGCTGAGTTGGGATTTGACATGCCGACCACCACACCAATTCAAGGACGGGGGCATCCACCGTTGAATGCGGGACAAGTGTCGGTCCCGTGGCTGGTAACTCACATCCAGAATGAGGTGGAAATTAATGACGAGACTCCAGAAGATCAAGTGGAGCGCTATGCACGCATCTACCTCATTGGTCTGGTGGGTGGATTTTTGTTCCCCGACAAGTCAAACCGGTGGATTCAAGGCATATGGTTGCCATTGATCACTGGTGACTGGGACGCAATCGGGGAAAAGAGTTGGGGATCAGTCGTGTTAGCTGGCATATACCGGGAGCTGTGCACTTGCTCGAAGGTGGGAGCAAAACAAGCTGGTGCTACAATGTTTTTCCTATAGCTGTGGGTATGGGAGCATCTTCCAATCTTCGCACATCTAGACCCATGTCCATACCGGAGAGCCGATGATGAGCTAAATTTTCTGCAAAATCCCCCTTACGGTGTCAAGTAAGTTTATTCCGTACTTAGCCTAATTTAAAATTAGTCCATGATTAGCTAGATTTCAATTGAATTTATTCCGTACTTAGCCTAATTTAAAATTATTCCATGATTAGCTAGATTTTAATTGAATTTATTCCGTACTTAGCCTAATTTAAAATGATACCATGCTTAGCTAGATTTAAATTGAAAGTAATCCGTACTTAGCCTAATTTAAATTTATATCATGCTTAGCTAGATTTAAATTGAATTTAATCCGTACTTAGCCTAATTTAAATTTATTCCATGCTTTTACTTACAAGGTGGATAGGAGCAAATACGAATGACCATCAACCTGAGCATTCGTTACTGTTTTATCGTTCTGAGTTAGATAAGTCTTGGTGGAATCAGGTAATCATGCTTTATCATATTTTAACAAGTTAAGGTTTTTCAAGGTAAATGGTTGCTAATTGCATTATTTGAATGAATATAGGTTACTTGGGATCCATATCCACGTGAAGTGGTCGAATTGCATCATCTTAGAAACCCTCTAGATCACGAGACGTGGTTGTGCAAGGTGCCATTGATCTGTTGGCACGTTGTGGAGTGGTACCTACCCGATCGATCCTTGAGGCAATATCAAATGGAGCAACCAATTCCACAAACCCCGCCTCAAGTTTTCAGGGAGCTACATGTCATCGACCTCCAACACGCTTCAAAGAATTGGATCCTAAAGCATCAGTACTACATCAACATCTGGGAGAATAGAAGGACATGGGTGGTCCAAGGGATGCCGGAGTCGAGACCGATGGGCTACCATGATGGGTACATGTAGTGGTATCGGAAGTTCACCAATAGATGGGTGTCAAAGCAAGGTGCTGTGATGGGTTCGTTGGTAAGTCATCCTAATCTCCCGCGTGAGTCTAATTATTTTGTTTTAATGTTTAATTAATTTTGTTTTATTATGTGAATTGCTTAGATTGATGGTTTGGAACACGCCAAACACACCCTAGATAGTGCTCCAAGCATGGATGAGCGGAATACTTCTTGGCTACAAAGGTTTATGAACAACCTCTTGAGTTGTACTCGAGAGCAAAGGAGGGATGTCGTGGCCTATCCTCCCATTCCCGCTCCGGCACGCCCATCATTCTGTGATGATGAGCCCATTGTGCCCCCGGTTGAGCCCCCACGAAGGAGCAAACGCAGGCCTCTGCCTACTTTCGAAGAGGTGCGTACAACTCAAGAAACCGAGCTCCCTGAACCATTTGAGTACGAGTGTGCACCTGCATCGGATGTCGCTGGAGGTTCATCTCAGGAACCAGATAATTTCTCTCATTTCCACCATCAGCAACAGAGTTTGATCTATCACACCCCGCATCAACAAACCCCTCACCGCCCGATCTACCAGCAGGCTACCGGTCCATCTCAGCAACCTCCACCGCCACTTGTAACTCCAGTAGGGGCTCGGGTTAAGAGACATCCGCGACAAGTAGTTGAGTGAGCCCGCCAAGAAGCAGAAGGAGGAGGTGGAAGAAGGGGTGAGGACGTCGTGGAGGGCGAGCTGAGGGCCAAAATGAGGGGCAACCAAATGAAGAAAACCAGTGAACTATCTAGTGTTTTCGGTCTTGTTATTTGAGTTGGCATTATCGTTGAGCTATCCATGTTGTTTTTCAAATATCACGGAGTTCTTGAAAATTGAATCGCAACTCAATTTTCAGCATAGTGGATTCACCGTTCTCATAATCAATCCCTATTTCAGAGTTTGTCACCCTTCCATTCCATCGAATAATAAGCCGAAAGTTCTTGAATTTACCTATATCTACAATTTACAATAAGTTAAACTATTAGCTTAAGGACAGTAAAATTAACCAAAACCATATTGTACGACTAATATTACTCCATCTCATAACTAACGTAACATAAATTCAACTAACTAACAACAGCATAAATTCAAAAATTAAGTACTACAATTGCTACGATAAGTAATTCATAACATAACAATATAACTACTAAAAACATCATTAGGCTATAATACGAAAATTAAATCATACTATAACTACTAAAAACCCATCATTAAGCTATAATACGAAAATTAAATCATACCGAAAATTCATGTTCTGTGTATTATGCTCGGTTTTGGTTGTTGAAATTTGAAGAGGGGGAGTGGTTATGTTTTTATAATTGCAGGTGGCCTGGTATTTATAGTAAAATCTGCCTACTATTCACCGTTTTGTCAAACACGGTGAACACCATCACCGCGTTTGTCTCAAACGGTGAACATGAGGTAGCTGTTACCTTATTTTCACCTAACAGGGGTTGAAAACGTGCCTAATACTAACCGTTTTAACATAGAACGGTGAAGGTATTCACCGTTTTGCCCTAAAACGGTGATATATTCACTGTCTCCGACTAAAATAGTGATATCTTCACCGTTTTAATTTAAAGCGGTGATCGGTTCACCGTTTTAGAGAATTTGTCAAACGCGGTGATAATCTTCACTGCGTTTGTCAAAAACGGTGAATGCCAAACATGTGTAGTTTTGGAATTTTTTTTTATAACTTATGTATTTTGTGAATTCTTTTTAAGAACATGTGTACAGTGGGATTTTTTCCAGCTCCCTGTGTCTCTATTGAAGTTGTTAAAGATTGCATGAAAACATGTATGAAATTGAAAACCGACCAAAATTTGACTCAGGCAGAAACCGTGTTTAGGATACCAATTTCTACTAGTTGGACACAGGAGGGAAAATATAAATACTTTTAATTTATGAACGAGAAAAAAGTGAGAGTTTTGGTGTTTCAACTTTTTGGGAAGAAAATAACAGGGAATTTTATGCTTGCAAATTTTTTGTTCTCAAATTTTGGTGTTTTCACTTTTCAACATGAAACTTGAATTTTGATGTGGGAGTAATCTTAAATTGTGTTCTAAAATTCCTTCAAACTTTTAGTTTTCCCTTCTTCCTTAATCATTAATTTCTCATTTATTAGTTATCAAATTCTGATCTTTGTTTAATATCTTCTACTAATACGAAAAACCCAAAATTTGATTCATTTGTAACCTGTCAATCCACAACACGATTACTCTGTAACCCGACTACCTGCAACCCGATTAACTCGTAACCCATTTGACTAGCAAATTGATGAACTCAAACCCCACTTCTCCAAAACGTGATTGAACATGAACTCAACTACCTAGTAACCCGATTGAACCTGAACCCGAATGATCTGTAATCTGATTGAACTCGCAACGCGAATGACACATAACTCGGTGAACCAACAACCTGACTAGCTTGTAACCCGATGAACCTGCAACCCAAATGACTCGTAACCCGATTGAACCTGTAGTCCGATGAACCTAACTCGAATATGCCTGATTGACACCAATAAGAGAGGATAAGAAAAACCGATAGAGTAACAATATCGGTGTCCAACTAATAGAAAGTCAAGATTGTGCCTATTTCTTAATTAGTCAGATTGATTCAATTTAGATAATGAAAATTTTATAAAAGGATATAATAATCATTTTGAATATTATGTTTATATATTACTGATAATAAAATTATAAATTAATTAGTAAAAATATAAAAATAATAATTTTTTTACCAACCTTTTAGGGTGATGGAATCGGGTCGTTTTAGGAAGAATATGCTCATTGTCGCCGGA